ACAGCAGCCCCAGAGTCTGATTAGAGAAGGTGCTTGAGAGGGGGGGCTGATGATGATGATGAGTGGAGCGATGATCAAAAGAATTGAACAGTCATGTGAAGCAGCTTCGCGCTTTATTCCTTTTGTTTTCCGGTCGGCAGATACGTCCAGTCGATCAAACAATGTGTGCTGCTGACCCTTTCTGTTGTTGGGGCTGAACCTCCCCTGGCCCGCCACTGTTTCGTCTGGCGTGCACCGCTTGAATCTAGCCCTTTGGACGCTTTCGCCATTGATAAGCACATGTCATATGTCTTCTCTCCTCTCTTTTTCTAGCATATACGTAGGCCAAAAACACCACCACTAAAGAATTACAATCCCATTTGAAAAGATAAAAAATCTAAGACCCGACCATCTACGAGGGGGCTTGATGCATGTTACTTGCGATTGGGACGGAAGCGAGAGACAGCTCGAAACTTACTGCGTCCTAATCAGATACTTGTATCTCGACCATTTCGTTGATTTCTCGAGGGTTCTTTCTTCATGTTTTCGTCTTTAAAATTGAAGTCGGCTGGCTTAAGGTAACATTAAAAGGAGAGAATTAGAAAAAGGGGGGAGAGGAAAGTGGCTATGATATGAAGAGTACCCTCTTGTTTTCCTTTTATGTGGTACCACACACACTGCCACAGCCCTCATGGAGTGGTCTTCACCTCCACATGGAAAATGGTCCATCTCATTCCAACCCTCTCCCACCTTTTGGTATCATGGAGGGCAATTATTGACCAAAAATTAGGACTTTAGTCCTCTATTATTCCCACAATACCAAGAAAAATATTCACTTGCAAAATACATGTATTTTGCCATCTACAAGAGATATTTTTTTTCGCGTGAATATGAACCTAATCGAAGCAAAAAAAGAAAATGTACCAAAGGATTTTTACCCAAAACATCACGGCCAAAGAGGACGGCTTTGATCGACACGAGTTCTTTTGACATAATGCAATACACAAAGACCCCTTTGTAACGGATATTTGGCGAATGCGCTCCGATGTCAGCCCTACCACAGCAAACCATCCATCGCAAGGAGTTGCTGATCCGAGAGGATCTTAGCAAGGCCTCGTGTTTCTTAAGATCCGGAACATGGGTCATCGAAAATCAATAGTTGGGCTACGTCTGTTTTTGCGGGAAATGAACGAATTGAAATTATTTTTTTTCTAAAAATGATCATTTGAAATAATTAGCGAATGGAAAATGTCTGCATCAACAACAATTTATGTTTGGACATCTTCGTGAACGATGAAGATATTTTCTGTTCATTCATTTTTGTATCCGTTACAAGTAATCGTTTTTAGAAAATATTTTTTTTATAAAGAGTTTTCCAATAAGACAGTTTTTTATGATCTCTTCTTGGTGATCCTTCAAAGATACTGCACCCATTGTAGTCCCCAGTGGGCCGGCCCAACTAAAAGCCCAGTCCACCGAAGACCTCTCAGGCCCGGCCCAAATCCGTTCTCGGCCCACCCTTCGATCTCCATCTTCTTCCTTCGTCGGCAAAACCCTAATCGTATATAAACAGCGGGATCTCTGCAGCTCCTCCGCTGCTGCCGTCGCTGGAAACGGAGGTCTTTTGCTCTCGGCGCACCGATTCGACCATGGCGGCCGCGAGGACCGTGAAGGACGTGTCGCCGCACGAGTTCGTCAATGCCTACGCGGCTCACCTCAAGCGATCCGGCAAGGTAAAAACCCCCACGCGAGCTGGAAACTGTGTTTATCCGCGCGATTCTCTCTTTGATCGCGGGAGGAATGTTGTTGGGGCTGAATTTGTTCGCGAGTGCGAGATTAGGTGTGTTCATATCGATTTGGTTTGTGCTGTACCATGAGCCTTTGTGTCTGATTCGAATTTGGCCTTTTGGAGTTCTCTCGTAGGTGTGTGGATGTGCAATAGTGTGGTTCGTTTCGACATTGGTTGAGAATCGGGGAGGTTCTTATGCTGGTGGTCCGGATTCTTCTTGTTTGCAATAGTTTTCGGAGTTGCGCTGGGTTGTGAGGTTTTGAATTTTTGCGTATGCTTCGGATTGAGTGAATGTCTGTGAGACAAAAATGCCGTCGATCGGTGGCCGAGAAGGGTCCATGGAGTGGCATTGCGTTGCTTTCGCAATGCAATAAAAATGGTCACTTTGAAAAGATCGACGATGTCTCGGTTGATGCTTGTGTGTTGTGGGATGGTGTGCTGCTGGGATAGGATTTTATGTCTTAGGTTGAGAGTACTTACGTTTTGGTAGTTTGGATTTGAAGCTCTGCACTTAAGCAGGTTTCGAATACTGGTTATGCTTCCTACTGGTGGAACTCTGCTATCGATGTTTTTGTCGAGCATCCTGTTTCTTTTTTGAAAATTTAATGTCTAATTTTCTATGTAAAATCAGAGAAGCACCTCGAGTGCTTTGGAGAAGTCAATTTAGCAATGAGATCCGCTTCGGTTAAGCTCTATATATGGTTATGCTCCTTGCGAGAGGGTTTGTTTCTGTCCTAGTACTTAATAAGATTCTTTGATGTCTCTGAACAGATTGAATTACCTCACTGGACTGACATTGTGAAGACTGCCACGTTCAAAGAGCTTGCTCCCTATGATCCCGACTGGTATTACATCAGAGCTGGTACGAGTAGTTCTCTACTTGTGTTATATTAAACTTAGTGTTCTTCTTGAAAAATCTGTTCAAACCTAAGTTACAAAATTATTTGCAGCCTCAATGGCGAGGAAGATATACCTGAGAGGAGGGCTCGGCGTAGGTGCTTTTCGCAGAATTTATGGGGGGAGCAAAAGGAATGGAAGTCGGCCACCCCATTTTGGCAAGAGCAGTGGTTCTGTTGCCCGCCATATTCTTCAACAGTTGCAGAATATGAACATCGTCGATGTTGATCCAAGGGGGTGAGTACCCAGATTTTTAGCTGCTTAGCTCATTTATGGCAAATGGCAAATGATTGGATCAAATGCTGGTATATGTCGGTTTTACTGGATTAAACTTTGCTGGGGACGAGCTAGAACGCACAATGCTCATCTCTTGAACCATTAGTGTGGTTTCGTATTCCGCATCTTTCATGGCATGAATATTTCACGAGGGTGCCATCTTTAACTTCTGCTGAATTTTTTGTTTGTGCAGTGGAAGGAGAATTACATCAAGCGGTCAACGTGATCTCGACCAAGTTGCCGGGCAGATCGTGGTGGCACCATGAGCAATCTAGTATTAACTAGCCATGTTTTAGGTAGAATTTAGATAGCTCTTACAATCTTTGATATAGAGATAAACTTGTGCCCGGGAAATTCAGGTTTCAGTTTTTCCAGATTTCTTTTTTGTCCAAGACAGTATTTTTGCAGATGTTGAGAGGCTTGAATTAATCAAGTTTTATATCCTGAATTCAATTCCTTTGGCTTTATTGCACGCACATGGTGAATCGTAAGTCTTTTTTTTAACTTTAATTTCTGGTAAGCTTTTTGTGATGATTGATCTTCAAATATAAGATCTAAGTCTCCTACAATAAGTTTGAGGATGCATTGATGTGCATTGATAGTAGAAAGGTTTAGAACTTAATGTTGGAAATATATGGTTGTAAGTTTATATTACTTGGTGAAATATTTGAAAAACCATATGGAAATTTTATCACTTAGAGTTGAGGTTGGTGTCATCTATAGTATCAATCAAGCAATATAGATGGAGAACAAATGTCAAATATAAGAATTTGAGCAGCGGATTAACATATACAGTGGCGGATACGTTTAACTAAATGCCAATTACACAATAATCTTATTAGTAGATTTGTCAAAATGGGTTGTAAAATCTTTGTTTTTTTGGTCGAAAGTTGTAAATTCATTTGTTAACTCATATTTGATAGGATAAGTTGTTATATGAGTCAGTTATATTCAGTAAATGGGTTATGAGTGGGTTTGGAATGGTAAAATCTAAAATAATATGGATGTTAAATGGATTCACAACTTACTTAAACCCACCTCACCTCTACGACTCTCTCCATTCTTTCTTGCCATCACTCAAACTTGCACTCACTCATTTCGTGCTCTCACCTCAATCTGGATATGAGTTTTCTTAAACTGGATTAAAAATTGAAGTGTTTTAGCAATTGAATCAGGTCGGGTCGTGTATGAATCACTAAATTTGTATTTCATGAAAATAGATCAAAACGGGTTAAATAGATCAATTTAGGTATAATCGTAGACCCGACCCGTTTGACCGATCTGCTTATCAGTCTACTCATTGAGGTCAAATATAGGTAAAATCTGATTTTATAAATATCAAACTTTTTAGAACTGAGCATTTCATTTGATTTTTCAAAAAGTAACTTATCGGTCCGCCCTATGCATGGACATCTCTCAAGTGATCACGATGAAATTCAGCTGCGAGACGATGCTAATTTCGCGGTCGTATTATTGCACCAAAATATACTTTTGATGTTAATATCCATCGGCAAATTCGTTTTAATTGGAACCGTTCGCAAAAGAGAATACAGCTGTTACACGCTTATAAGCACATGTCATCACGCTGGACGTAGAAATTATTTAATAAGTGTGTATTATATATATAATCCATATCGGTCAAAATCGAAAAACCGTTAAATCCGTTGAATCTTATAAGTTCCCTATCCCTCCCCCACACCCCCTTTCTCATTGCATACTTGCGCTCCTACACGACACCATTGACACGGATACATACCCACTTCGACATCACCGCATTAGGTAATTAGATTAAGACACTAGACATCAAATCAGACAAGAATCATCGTACACCAATGGCCTTCGCACGATGCAGGCCAACTTCATCTCACTATAAAAAGATGTAAACCTGGCGTGTGCCGCGATCGAAATTGCATCGAAGTATCTCGCACTGGGTCGCCCGAGTTGGAGGCGGGCGCTTATATTCATTCAAACATCCGCCAATACCGCCGATGCTTTCTGATAATATACCGAAGTGATCAAAAGTAGCCAAGTAAAACATCAGAACAAGCACTCGTTAATGTCTGATGAACATGAGGAACTATCAACCCCACGCCACGATCATATCATACCATATCATATCATATAACCTCAAGCACCCGAAATGTTTGGGCATTTATTTGATAGACAAGCAAAAGACACACAACACAGATGTATGTCACGAACTCAAGCAGACGACAGAAGCAACAGACAACACACACATAGCAATACCCGAAACCTTTTATTTAGTAGCTTAATATAGCATGGGTTCCCACCAAGAGGTGATCGAGGATTCGATCACTCGTCATCGTCAGAGTGCTTGTGGTGGTGGTGGTGCTTGGAGCGGTGATGCTTCTTCTCCTCGTCCTCATCATCACCAGAGCCATCATCTCCCTGCAATATATGATTAGCTCAGCACATCAACATGAGGTGCAAGAGGGGGTGAAACTTAAACATAAGTAGCTTACGTTCCTATAGAATATGAACGAGGCAAACATCTGAGTATCTCAAGTTTTACCAACTTGGGTTGAAGTATGGTGTTTTAACAGCGAAAATGCCATTAAAAACTGCATTCGACACATTCCAAATATACTTCAGTCCGAACAAGAACTTAATCCAATAAGAATGAGACAGGTCAAACAGTGAAGAAAGAACGAGTAGAAAGAGGAAGAAACATTTCTGTTGAGATTGAAATGAAAACAAAAGGCAAAATAGAGTTAATCTATTGTTAAAGGCATACAATCAAGTTTTAACCTGAAATAGTCACACAAGTGATCAAGCAGTGTAGGAACCAAAACAAAGTCACGGTTCCAGCCATGTGAATCAATGCATGCCTCCCTCTTCATTACGTGTGATAATTAAATCCTCAATTCAGTTTACAGCAAGACTGTGACCTAGTACTCACTTCTAGCAAATAAGCATAATCAAGTTCCGGTAGAGCTGAACGGCTCCATGAACTTAGGGATCCAATTGACTGAGAACAGAAGTTCCAAGGGTTTAATTTTCCCAGTAAAGACAATAGGGGAATGAGTTGCATTTGGTAAAAATTGACGGTCGAATATTTCTTCTGTACTTTTAGTTATTTTCATCTGCATGTACATTTTCATTAACTAGAAATTACTGAAGCTTGAGACTCAAATATACTCTAAGGAGTTGTTCAGTGAATGCTCGTCTTTCTCTTCCCTTCCACACTGTGATTACAGTCTCAAAGAAAGTCAGTGAAACTAACTTATCGCCTCTCACCTAAGGAACATGACTCACTAGCCTGGCCTTATCAATTTACAGAAGCTTGAGATGCAAATATATTAAGGAGTGTAACCTAAGGAGTTCAGTGGCCAATGCCTCACCTTTTCCTCCCTCCGCCAATTGGCTGGATAAAATCAATGACAATCCACAAGCCTATATTAGGGCCTCTCCTATAAGGAACATGATTCACTTACCTGACCCTACTGTTCAACGAAAACAAGAGCTTGTATTCCTACTTATGTGGAATGATTAACCACAAAATTGTCTTCACTCTTTATTATAGATAAAGGGAATTTTCCAGCAACACTGATCTCACTATAAGGTGCCGCTCTCTCGGCAACTTCGGAGGAAAATCCATTGCTCAAACCACAGCTGTCTAGCTGTCGAGCAATTGGTGCAAGAGCATCTTAGCATTACTTCAGGTAACCTCACGGGCCAGGACTACAACTTAGATCAGACCTTCAAAAATAGATGCTGGTGCTGTTAAACGACCAATTCAATCCCTTCTAACTTAGGTTCAACCAATGGTTCAATACACATGCCAAGAAATCACTTAAACTAAAAAGATCAACAACAGCAATGAGCACCAGATCTCAGAGAAGGGTAGCATATGTAACTAACCAGATTATCCATAGCAGACATAGCAATAGTATAATTAATCCATCGCATTGAAACGAAAACAAACAAGGAGTACCAAATCTCATAGAACAGTGGCAGGACTATGCAACCAATGATCCTAACAACATCACAAGAGTGTCATCCTGTGTACCGAGAAAAACAGAAACGATGGAACTTACATATTTCTTGCGGCCATAGCCCTCCTCTTCGCCATACCCATACCTCTTGGGCTTGTCCTCATCCTCATCATCATCCTTCCTCCCATACCTCGGCCTCCCATAACCCTCTTCCTCCTCGGAGCGCCCATAGCTCGGCCTCTGGAACCCTTCCCCTTCCTGGGTCTCGTAACTCGGCCTTCTCGGAGGCTCATCATCACCGCCGTAGCTCGGCCTTCTCGGAGGCTCATCATCGCCGCCGTAGCTCGGCCTCTCGAACTCGGTCCCCTGTGGCCTCCCCCCATACCCAAATTCACCACCTTCCTGCTCACCATAGCCGGGCTTGCGACCATGCCCAGATCCGTATTCGGACCCGCCAGATTCATACTCAGTCCTTCCACCATATCCGGATCCATACTCAGTGCTAGGCTTCTCGTACTCAGTCCGGCCACCATACGCAGATCCATATTCCGCGGTCGGCTTCTCGTACTCAGTCCGACCGCCGTATCCGGATCCATACTCCGAGCTTGGCTTCTCGTACTCGGTCCTCCCGCCATATCCAGATCCGTACTCCGAGCTCGGCTTCTCATACTCGGTCCTCCCGCCAGATCCGTACTCCGTGCTCGGCTTCTCATACTCGGTCCGGCCGCCATACCCGGATCCGTACTCCGAGCTGGGCTTTTCGTACTCGGTCTGACCGCCATACCCGGATCCATACTCAGATCCGGGACGGCGCCCCGATCCGTACTCCGGGTTAGGCTTCTCGTACTCGGAGGATCCTCCGTACCCGGAACCGTACTCAGTCTCCGGACGGCGACCGTATTCGGATCCAGGCCTCTCATAATCAGGCTTGCGGCCATACCCGGAGCCGGGCTCCTCCGGCATCCCGCCATACCCAGGTCCGAAATCCGGGCCGGGACCGCCGGGCCCGCCGAATCCGGGCCTGTCCATGCCGGCGGGACCGCCGAAGCCCGGCTGGGGAGGAGGTGGGCCGCCGAAGGGGGGGCCACCGAAGGGGGGGCCGCCGGGGCGGGGCTTGGGGCGGGCGTAGCTGCTGTACTCGGTCCGGAGGGCGTCCTCGGCGTAGGCGCAGGGCTTGTCGTAGGAGGAGGCGAAGTGGGGGCGGTCGTAGTCGTCGTCGAGGCCGCCGGAGGAGGAGGTGGAGGGGTAGCAGATCTCCTCGGAGGGCTCGAGTGGGCGGCCGTAGGTGAGGGTGATGTCGTAGCCGCCGCCGAAGGGGGTGGGGTCGTACTCGTCGAACTCGAGGTCGTCCTCCTCGCTGCGGTGGTAGTACGGCATGGTCGCCGGCTCCTTTTCTTCCTTCTTCTTCTTCTTCTGCAGATCGAGAGATATGGAGAGAAGGTGTTTGTGAAAATGCGTGGGGATCGAGAAGGTGCGTTTCGAAGGGTATTTATGGTTGGGCAGGTTGACGAAGGAACGGCCGACGATGTCGATCCGAGGAGGGAGGGACGCGCGAGATTTTCTGGGCGGTGGTGGTGAGCGAGCGAATGGTGTCGGCAATGCTTCTTTTTGTTGATGGATTTGATTTGACCGTTCGATGATTATACCATGACCGACAACGCGAGATATCCACGCTTATCGTGGGATAACGCTTGTCGTTCGGACCATGCCACGTTACTGAGGCCGCGAATCGGTTGTCCGGACATGGGAGTGGGATGGTATATGATAAAATTGCGTTTGGTTGTCGGAATACGAATCGCAACAAGATAAAATAAGACTGCATTTAGTTGCTCGGACACGGATTGAGATAAGAGAAGATAAAAGTAAGACGAGAAACCCGTCAATTAGAGAATTGAAATACTGATCCAATTACATCGTACTGTTTGGCTTTGTTATTTTGATTTCTCGCTTTCTTCGTGCGATCCTGTTTGAGCTCTACGGGCATAGTTGAACAAATAATCGTCATTTTTTATTTATGAAATTGCTTATATTTTATTTATGTCGAAGTAAAAAATAAGTACCACGTGCTAATTAAAAATGAGTATGCGCGGTGGACTGCAAGTTTTCTCGCTGGTAATGCAGAGTTTTTATGAGGAATATCACGATCTCACTTTTTTTTTTGTCCCGGAAAAAAATACCATAAATTTTAGATCGAGTCTTAAATCTACCCCGAATTTTATTTTGTCTAAAAAAGTCATCAGCTTTCCATCTATTCTCAAATTGATCACAGTGGTCGAGTCCTAACTTAACGTGGCATTTTCACATCGAGACGACACGGAAAATTATCTCTAAAATGAAACCGTTCTCGGATATGAAAATTAGGGACGGCCAACGGCGATTTTTGGACAAAGCGCTAATGGGAGGGGACAGATTTGGAATTAGAGTAAAAATTTGTGATTTTTCTCCTAAACAAAAAAGAAGAAGAAGAAGTTCGGGGTAAATTTGTAACTGGACCTAAAATTTGAGATTTTTTTTGCTAAACATATAAAGGTTCGGGATAGATTTGAACTAGACCTAAAACTTGGGGGCTTTTTTCTCAAAAGAAAATAAAGGTTAACGAAAGAAGTGATATTACACCTAAAGTTTGAGTTTTTTTAAGGGAATTGGACCTTACGTAGTGGGCGAGAAATTCGTCTTGTTATTTGCTCTACCGAGAGTACTTCATCGGAGCGTAGTGTCGTAAGGATGCTAGAGTTTTGATAGTATGATCGGTCAATTTCGGGAAGAAGCCGTACCTACTATTAGTCCGGGCTTAGTTGCAAGCCAAAGCACTATAGACTTTGCATGCATCATCTCTAATCCCTTCAGTTAATCCGTTTATATTAGATAGAAGCACGGTGCACTTGATATTGTCAGTTTATTCCTGCATCTATCAACACACATCTTACATATATTAAACTTTAACTTGTCTTATCCCGCAAATTTTGTTATGCTAGTATGAACCCACCTCCTATTCACCCTTTAGGTTAATTATAGTTAGCCACAGCAGAGATTGGAGTTCGGATTTACTATACATAACAGAGGGATTTGACATGCCTCTTTTAGCATTCTTTGCACCCTCGCACACGATCTTGCTAGCATGCGCCGACGTCATGATCCTCCTCGTTGTAGTGGGCTACGTCTATTGGTACTGGCGTCACGATCGCGCAAATTGGGCTTGCTTTGATCACGACATTGGGCTTGCTTTGATCACGACATCGAGCGCCCGCGACAACTGGTTGGAGCGGCAGCCCCGCTAGCTGCGGTCGCGGTGCCTAGTGGCGATGCGAGGAAGTTCAATATCGAAGAGTGCGCAATTTGCCTCGGGAGTTTCGAGAAAGGAGAGGAGTGTTGCGTGCTCAAGACGTGTGACAACGGGCACCGTGAAAGTTGCGTCATGGAATGGGCCTCGAGAGACCGGTGTTGCCCGCTTTGTCGGGGCTCAATCCAAGCGGGGCGAGCAGCTAGGGTCACACCGACTCTTGCCAATTCCTAGTTCGACTTTTCTTAATTTACTGTATGATCTAATTAACCACACGCCAATATTTTCCTTTTGCAGTTAGTATTGTATCGGGAAAGATACATCATTCTTTGGGATGTAATTGACACTTACGCGCCCATATGAATATGTGCCCAAAAGAGGAAAAACTAATAAAGGAAAACAACTTGTGATTTGACTTGTACATCGTAAGTTTACCTTATCGGGGCTGCTTTGGATTATTGGTGTTTTGGTCAGGTTTACCTCACCATAGTAGGGTGTTTCCACCTCTCCGAGCTACAATGCCTTGTTTAACGACCGCCCGCGACCGATCTATCCAAGGACCCCCTCTTGCTAGGGATACATTTTTCCTACCTTCTTAGCTGGCAGTATCCCCTTGACAGCTTTACAACCCTGAAAATCTAAACGAGAGACATTAAGGGCTTTTAAGGACCTGTTCAAATCAGACACACATGGATATGTGCCCAAAAGAGGAAAAACTAATAAACGAAAACAACCTGTGATTTGAAGATCCAACACAAATTCAGTATCTATTAAAAGATTGGTGTAATTTAATGATGCATTGAAATTACGGCCGTGTATATATTACTTAAATATATTTACAGGGTTATTATTCATAGAGAGAGAGAGAGAGAGAGAGAGATTGATTTTGTATGCCCATTTTAGCATTTCTTGTAATGGGAATGTTACCGTCCTGTTGCCACCGATTCAGAAATCTTATCACATGTTCATGTACTAATCTAACTTGATCTTAGTTTCCCAAGAGGACCAAAACAAGGAGTAGAAACCCAACATCCTTCCACCATTCTTTCTTAAGCTATAGAATCTCATATTGATTCGGCGCTTAAAAGCGCACACCGGTTATCTTCCAATTCAAAGAAGAAATAAGCTCATCATGCCTCCCTCTCCGTCGGCCACTCGGCCGCCCTCTCCCTCGGTTGCCCCGTCACCTCTGCATCCCTACTACGCCGCGGGTTCTGTCAACTTTGCACCCTTCGCCTTGTATGCGATGTCGCTAGCATGTGCTGACATCTTTCTCCTCTTTGTCGCGGTGAGCTATGCGTATTGCTTTCGCTGGCTCCGCGGTCGAGCGAATCGGGCTAGCTTTGATCACGACATCGAGCGGCCACGACAACAGGTTGAAGTGACAGCCTTGCCTGTGGAGGCCCTGGCGTATCGTGGCCATGCGAAGGAGTTCGATAGCGACGAGTGCGTGATTTGCCTCGGGAGTTTCGAGGAAGGAGGGGAGTGTTGGGTGATCAAGACGTGTAACCATGAGTACCATGAAAGTTGCATCAAAGAGTGGCTCTCGAGAAACCAGCAATGCCCACTTTGTCGGGGCTCGGTCCCAAGCGAGGCAGGCGACTAGGGTTACACCAGCTCCAGCCAGATCCTAGTTCGAACTCTTGCAAAGTTATGATAGGGACCAATTAATGGCATATCGAGTTTTTGTTCTTCCCATTCTGTTGACACTGAAAAATGATCCAGACGTTGGGATTGAATTGTCGACAAGATAGTGAAGTGACCAGGTCATAAATCAATGAGTGCCCAGTGTAAAAACGATGCCGGATCGTACGTGCAACGACGAATGGTCAACCATGTCCAGAGAAAGTCAAACTGAGAGAAATCTTGAAGATTATAACTACTTATGCTAGTGCTTTTTGTAGTTCGGATCTGAGTCCAAGTAGGATAATAAAATATCATATTTGGTGTTTAGCAACGTCCTCTCGACCGGATATACTTTGATAAAATGCTAGATAAAATATCCCCGCTAGGGTAAGGGATAAACTGAGATTGGATAAAAAAAACTTAAAATAACTTAACAATTTTCTTTCGATGATGGAGTGACCATCAATCGTTGTCACTTTCGACCATCGTGCCATCATCCTTGCCTCTGATCACCATTGATCGTCATCGCCGTCCAGCCAATCGTGCTTCGACGATGAGAAGTTATATGTCACATGGCCATCACCATTGAAGAGCTCGAATCCTTTCACAAGTGCGATCTCAGGATCTCATCGTCCACCATAGAGGCGTCTCCACCCTCATTACTCGCTGCTCTAGTGCCCATCCACTGCTGGAGTTCTGTCCACCTCCTCTCTACACCTCACTACCCGATATCATCGGCTTCAAGTCAAGTGGCACCTGAGTTTCACACGCGGCGTCCACCACCCCGTCGCCACCCTTCATTAGTCATTGCTACCTTTTCAAATCGCTGCGGCCTCTACCTCCCCGATTGCTTCGCGACATCTTCGGCGACCTGATGCTCATCTTTGCCGGTGTCCAAATCACCTCTGATACGGTGAAAGCTGAGCGAGGATTATAGTATGAAGGTGGAGGTGGCGGTAGATTTGGCAAAACTGGCGGTGAAGGAGCTAGCGAGAACGGATTTGAGATGCTGGTGAGGGAGCTCAAGTGGTGAAATCTAGATATCATGGGTGATTGTGCTAAGGAAATGAGATTTTTAAAGATTTTCATCCTATCTTGGATTGTGCCAAATATTTGATAGAGTTTTCTTTAATTTGGAGGATTTTTAATCCGACCTTATCCTATTCTATGCAAATCCAAATTCGGACGACTAAACACAGAGATTGTGAGTGTAGAGCCAAGAATCTCGAAGGCAATTGAAGTTTGCGATTTAGAAGATGACCGCTTGTTGACGGTTACACTTTGTACAAGGCTATATAAGGCAGAGTAGAATCAATTGTAAAGGATCCGCAATCAACAAAACTTATTGAATTTTCTGCAATTCAATTTATCGGTTATTTTCTAACAAAAAAAATTAACGATTCTTCATTCGTGTTTACAATTCTTTATTCCTTATTCTTTTAATTTAGTTAACATTTGTAGTTTATCACATATCCACTGTTTCCTGTCCGAATCGCCACAGGACCACTTCACTCAAAAAAACCAAAAATCAAAACTCTGGTGAAAGGTATTTTGTCAATGACCATTTTCATGTCAATACGAGAAATCATACACAACCTATAAATCATGTAAATCACTATTATCCGAACTACTAATTACATGAGTCCTGTAAATAGATATATGCTCATTACATTTTTTTTTCTCATTGATCTGATCTTGAATTCGCATGTCGCCGGAGCCCCCAACGATAAAAAAGAGTCATAGGCTCAGTTTGATCCACGAGAAATGGATAATTTGGAAACATTTTCGTAAAAAAACGATTTATTGCATAGATTGAAATAATTAGTTAACGAAAAATATTTTCATTATCTACAACAATATATGTCTCAAATTTTTCGCCGATGATAAAAATATTTTTTCTCGCATTCATTTTTGTAGGCGATATAAGTGATCGTTTTTTTATGAAAAAATATTTTTCAAATCATTGATTTTTCACGAAATAAATGAGCCTCCGGAACTATTTTGTTTTTATTTCTTCGTCAGCCGGTGCATTATTATTTCGTCCGTTGAAATCTTTATTTATTTTTCGACCAGAAAAAAAAAAAGAAATCCTTATTTATTTCACGGAACCTCGGAATGGTTTTATGCTTCAGCTTTTCTTTTCGGCCAAGAAAAAAAAAAGTAAAAATGACAAAAAAAAAATGTTCGAGAAAAAATTAGGGTTTTCTCTTCTGGATTTTTTCCCCCAAATAGCCTTCGTCGTCGTCGTCGTCCCTCCTCCTCTCGCTCTTCTGCAATTTTTTCCCCCCGTCTCGCTCCGTAGCTTCGACACCTCGCGCGCCGTGCTCCGCCGAGCATCCTCCCGTCTCCTCCGCCATGGGCAAGGGTCCCGGTCTCTATTCCGACATCGGCAAGAAGGCCAGAGGTCCGTGTCCCACGGGCGCGGGAGGGGTTTTTTCCCCTTCGTTCTTTAATGTCGCGAATCGCGCGTCGCCGTGCTGAGTTTCTTTTTGTCTGACGTGTTTTGGCGGTGTGGTTTCGCGCAGATCTTCTCTACAAGGACTACCAGAGCGACCACAAGTTCACCGTCACCACGTACTCGCCGACCGGAGTGGTGGGTGTTCTCGCTTTTCCCATTTCGGCGTCGCTGCCGGTGCTTTCGCGTTTTCCCGGAAGTGCATTTATCGTTAGATTGGCGGGGTTGTTGGGTTCTTGTTCATTTCATTCGGCATTAGTGTTGGACCGCTTCGAGGTCAATTGAACGAACATTGGGTGGGCGGTTGCTTATTGACTGGCGGAACTTGCTACGCGCGGGACTCGGGTTGTTTGATTTGAATGCCGCCGTTTCTTGTGTGGTGTCGCGCGAAGAAGATGTGCTTGATGATTAGCGTTGGGGAGGAGATTGGTTCCAGGGGGCCAGGGGGCCTACCTTCCATTTGTTTGAATTTCTTGGTACATGACATTGGAGGCCGATCTTCGGAGAATCTTGATTTGAGTCTTGAAGTTGTCGTTGTTCGTGTGTCATTTGCTTTTGTTTGGTCATTAGTCCTCGGTGTCGTCTTGCTCTGCTTGATTTGGCTAATTACGCTCGGAGAAACCCAGTGTTAGTTTGTGGTTCACATTGAGAAGAACTTTAGAAGATGACTTTGTTTTCGCTTGGTTTAGTTGAATTTGGTTACGCGTTTTCTTATTTTGGATGACGGATCTTCTTCATAATGTTGCGGTGCTCGTGCCAATGCATGGTTTCGCCGCATTCTTTGAGAACCGTTTGCTTTCTGCTGCAGACTCTAACATCAACAGGAACAAAGAAAGGTGAGCTGTTTCTCGCTGATATTAGTACCCAGCTGAAGAACAAGAATATCACCACTGACATCAAAGTAGACACAAGTTCCAATGTAAGGTTTTCTTTTTCGAGTTTTCTTTTTATCTCTACTTGTGTGAATGAGTGATTGAATGATAGGAGTCTGAGATTTTTTTTATTTGCTCCTCTCTGGAATAAGCCTCGCCCGCTTCAAAAGTGGACTGTTAAAGGATTTTACGCTTGCGTTGGGTTTGATCATTCGTACTATTGTATCTACAGTTTCTTGTTTCAACTGGAGATTGTATTTTTATCCAAATGGGAAGTGGCGTCTGTTTATGGTAATTGAACCTGGTGGTCCCTGTTGAGTGGGAGTTTATGCATTGTTTTCTCTTGATGAAAAAAGTATGACTTCAGGGAATGTTACTCTTAGATATTTGCATTGTGCACAGAACAGAGTAGCTTCCTAAAGCTATAATCAAATTCATAATCGAATCCGGCATTCACTCTTCTTCTTCTTCTTCTGATTTTTGTTATCTTCTATACCATCTGTATTGTTACTATGATAATACAAATCATAAGTTAGAGCAAATGGCAATATTTTCTTAACTAAGTACTTTGAAGTGTCTAGCTCTCATCACCAAATGAACGTGCAAATAGGCAAATCATGCCGTACTTGCTTGTTTTTCTGAACATTTATTATTACTACCAGCTCTTCACAACCGTAACTGTTGATGAGCCTGCCCCTGGACTGAAGACTATCTTTAGCTTCAAAGTTCCTGATCAAAGGTCTGGCAAGGTAAGCTTATCTGTCTTTTCTGTTCCTGAGTGTTGAATCCCTTTATGTGTAGCTTCTCTGCATGTTTGACCTAATGATGTTTACCTTTCTCCATCTCCCAGGTTGAGCTCCAGTATTTGCACGATCATGCCGGGATCAGCTCTAGCATTGGTCTGACTGCAAACCCCATTGTCACCTTCTCTGGAGTTATTGGAACTAGTGCTCTGGCACTTGGTAGTGATGTTTCTTTTGACACCAAGACTGGTGACTTTGCCAAGTGCAATGCTGGTCTGAGTTTTGCCAATGCAGACTTGATTGCTTCACTGACTGTGTAAGTAGCTCTTGATTATCGGTTCTAAGTGTACTTAAATGTGGTAGAAGCAACTTTTTAAGACTCGTCAGCATGAAATGCTTCATTTTATAGTTTTTTATTTTCTCACCATTGTTGCGAATGATACAGGAATGACAAGGGCGACACTCTGGCTGCGTCCTACTACCACCTGGTGAATGGTTTGACCAACACTGCTGTAGGTGCCGAGTTCACCCATTGCTTCTCAAGCAATGAAAATACCATCACTGTCGGTACCCAGCATGCTTTGGATCCTTTGACATCAGTCAAGGCAAGAGTGACCAATGCTGGCAAGGTAAGTGCTCTTATCCAGCATGAGTGGCGACCGAGATCCCTCTTCACCATTTCAGGGGAAGTTGACACCAAGTCCATAGATAAGAGTGCTAAAGTTGGACTTGCTTTGGCTCTCAAGCCATGAGGCAAACCATCCAACTTATGCGAGTGCCCTTGTCTGAGACGAAGGGAAGCAGTAAATTCTGTTCAGACTGACATTCGGGTGTCCTCCTTCATGATTCGTCTCTTTGAACAAGAAGGCTGCTGAATGTCACTTTCCATTGTTTAGGTGGTTTCGAGTTGTGACAATAAGATCTGTAAAACACTGTCGGTGTCCCCTCTGAGGTTTCGTTGAGTTTTGACTCTATCCGTGTCTTTGTTTTTTGCAATCCAAGGAAAAAAACCATTTTAAGAGGCCGGGCTCTAGAATTCTGTGTGATTTATTTTACCTAACGCTTCCTCTTTACGTACGTTTGGGCCTTGCCTGTGCCTGGGGTGTTCAACGCTTGACCCTGTTTGTGTAGATTCAAAGCAAATGAGTACTCAAGAATGCTGATCTCTAAGCAACAGCACATCGAGCCCCTTGATCGCTTTGATCGGATTCGATGTTTCTCTGATAACTTGCTCTACAATATCCTTTGCAAAAATTGAGGCGTGTGATCTCCCTAATCAGTTTAGGGATGGTTCGAAGACCAGCCCTTTACGGCCGAGCTATACCAATTCTCTGATGCTCGCTCCTAGATCCCAAGAGGGCTTCACTCACAAGGCGGGGTCTCTTTTTCGGCTCGCTACCTCGGCCATCATGTTATAATAAGCTAAATAATTAGGCTAAGGGAGTTGCCTATAGTTGGTCTGGCTCTTAAAAGAAAATTTGATAGCACAGGAAAGCATGACATGTTATTTACTACGGGGATGTAATAATCAACATTATCAAACCAGTGACGAACTTCTCGCCAGAGTTTCGTAACAATAACTAGGATTTTTTGAAAATCTTGTTATGCACGCATATTAATCTATACCACCACCACCAAACTGCTCGATGTGCTTCGTCAGTAATCTAGAAGTCCATCTAAGAATTCTGGAAATAGCTCCGACCTCATCTTGCTGTCCCTGGCCAAGATAGCGTCCGTGAAAGAGCCGAAACAAGAGGACGAACCATCTCCGAAATGGCTCTCCAATCCTTGCGCTCCCTCGCACGAATCGCCGGGTTTGCCCCATTTGGCTTCATTTTCACAAGCCATTGTGCCAACGGAGGTGTCGGGGAGTGCTTGTTTCGCCATATCGCTCGCGCAGTTGACGGACGATGAAGACACTATATCGTGCAAGTCTCCTTTGCGCTTCTGCAAGACATTGCCAGTGGGAGATGGCTGATGCGAAATTGAATCCCCAGTCCAGGCAACAAAGGGAGCAGGAAGTGCTGGACCATCCGACTCTTGCGTGTTAAGTCGCGTTAGAGTAGGAGAGGATGACGAGGAACAAGAAGACGTGACCTCGCTCAATACATATTGATATTGTTGCAGCTGCATAACTTCTTGGTTCGTCGCCTGGTACTGAGGCCACGAGAGGTGATTTTCGGCGGTGAAATTCTCATGAACTTGCTCTATCACGGGCTTCATGATCACATCCAAGTGAGAATCGGAGCCTGCAGGGACCTGAGTCAAGCACGACGGCGCGGGTAAGATCTGGTGATGTCGGGCGTTTGGGCGGCTGCTCATGTTCTCAAAGTCCGAGAAGATCTGAGAGAAAGGCTTGTGGGTTAATGGATCGATCCCCATCTTTTGGAGCTTCTTCTTGAGCTTGGTGTTCCAGTAGTTCTTGACATCGTTGTCTGTTCTTCCAGGCAGATGTTTTGCAATTAGAGACCATCTGCAACAAAACCATATTATGCAACAAATAAAACCGTGAGAGGAGTACTTAAGAAATTATAAGAATGTTGCATGCATGGGGATTAAGTCACACACATCGAAACCTTTCGTGACAGAAGGATGGGGTGATAAGGAAATTTACCCCACCAGCTTTTGAGTTCATTAACGTTTTTTCCAAACTCAAGATCTATGAAGTTAAAACTACAACCCTCTGTCTGCATTAATCCGCTCATCCACTGAAGAGTTTTCTCCGTGAAATTCGGAGGGGGGGCTTAGCGGGAAAATGAGCAGCGATTTGAATCATTCAATCTAATGAAAATATGTGATAAACTCCTTTCCTGATACATGCTGTAAGCTTTATACATTCAAAAGAACAACTACATTCGACAGAGAAATGATGAGCAAACTAGTGAAACCTGCTCCCAAAGATTTTGTGGAGGTTGATGATGAGATCTTCTTCATCAGGGGAAAATCCATCATGCTTAAGGTCAGGCCTCAGATAATTAGTCCACCGAAGCCTGCAGCTCTTTCCACATCTGTTTAACCCTGCATGTGCGCGCGCGGGCACACCTAAAGTAAGACTAAGCTCTATCAAAACATGGAAATATGAGCTCAGAAGGACAATGATCTTGTTCATAAACGATTGGAAAAGGCATAAAGAAGACCAGCTTTCTTAGGAACCATAGTCCAGTTGCCGGTTCCATGCGTCGATACGTATGCGAGCATCTTCGCGTCTTCCTCGGGTGTCCAAAGGCCTCTCTTCACGTTCAACTTGTCGCAGCATGGCGGTCTCTTCATGACGGCTGAGAGAGAGAGAGAGAGAGAGAGAGAGAGAGAGAGAGAGAGAGAGAGAGAGAGAGAGAGATCAGAGAAGATGAATATGAGGAATGTGTCGAGAGAAGGGGAGGAGGAGGAACGTTTATGAAATGAGGAGGCAAGGAATGCATGGAATCGGCCTTGCCCAGCTAACCCCATTTGCATGTTTGTGTATGAAGCAAATTCATTTAAAACGACTCGGCGAATGACATCACTTTCTAATGCCTCTCTCTCTCTCTCTCTCTCTCTCCAAGATGCAGATACAGAAAGCACACACCAAAACCCTTTTGGCTCTCCAAGAACTGTTTGCTTGAGGATCATTGGTTTTGGGTGACACATTTAAACCAAAGATGGTTCGATTTTGATTCTCTCTCGTTAAAAATTTGTGTACATCCTAAGTCGTGAAGTCCGCATGATCAGCATGGCGATGCTACAGACTCTAATGTGTGAAGAATATTCTTGCTCGGTCTCTGTCATTCTCAATTCGTCATCTAAGCATGTCGAGAACACTTCAACTCTCATTGGGGACTTGGCTTTCGTTCATGCATGCTCCATCTTGTATCTATGTTTTTATTTTGGATTAATTTATGTGATTACTTTTTCCTGAAAGTTTATGCTATATATGTATAGCGCGTAATGTTTTTCATAGCTTAAGAACCACATTTTCTTCTTATAGGCATTGAGAAATGTAATTAGCAGATTCGACGTAAAGTCGCTAAAATAATTTTAAGGCATCATAGAATTGGGAAAATTACGAGTGAGAGGCGAATGATCAAGTTCTTGATGAAAATTATTGCTCGTGAAAGATTGCAGTCCACAAAATTCAAGAAGGTGTGTTGATTGCTTAAGTGGAACGTGCAAAAACTGAAGTATTATCAAGGCTTCCACATCCTTTTTCTTTGCATATAGAGCTAGAAGTAACCAAACCGGCGTCGACGACATGCTTTAACATGATGAAGACGCTCTCCAAAGTGCTTATGTTCTAGATGAATGATGATGACCCATTGAGGTCCGGGGCCTCTTTGCGGCCATCCTTGATCGAGGTCGCGAGCCGCAGCGGTGTGGGTCGTCCATGGAGTACATTGCACACAGCAGAGAGAGAGAGAGAGAGGCATCGGTGGCTGAAAGCAGGGCGGCGACCGTAGTCCCACGACGGTGGGTCATGGTGGATGGAGGAGGCTGCAAGCTATAGGGCATGTGGTGGGTTGAGGATCAGGAAATGGAAGCTAGGATTTGTATGGGGTGAGTCGAGAACGGGGTGGGAGTTCTTCTCGGGGAGGACAACCAACTCATTTTGCCGTGAGATTTTATCTTGAGGCTCGAAAGCGGTGTTCTTAAAAGTAGAGGATGGAAAGTGGGATTGAGAATTATACCAAGTATCGGGATTTGAGCATTTTCTTTTCGAGACGTTAGTTTATAGCTTTCCAACTTAGATTATGTAAAGTAATGTACGGTCTATGCATCACAGTGTCAAACTTTGCATTCACTAAGGATGCTTGGTACTTCGATCCGATACGGTTCGCACCAACAGGGGGTTGGGGATCTAAAGCAAACAAAATATAACCGAAGCATCCATGATCATGAGGCCGCACAAAATGGTTACCACGACAACCGGCGTTCACCGACTAACGGGGCGATGTTACCATGGTCGGCCTTCTTTCTCTCGTCCGAAGAGCGCCGATCAGCATGGCTATCCCGTAATGTATCCATTTTTGAGCTCGAGAACGCACTCGCAGAAATCCCGGTTGGCCCTCGGTCATTCCGAATTTAGGCCTGGTGGGTCTTTTCCGAAACCATCTGACTGAACCGTCGGTGGCGAGTTCGGCCCTCTCGGGTGTTGGCTCTCTCTCGTGCTGGCGGGAACGCTTGACCCTCCACGATGTTTGCGGTTCATACCAAAGATGGGAGGATAAATACAGCTAGCTCGAGCCAATAGATTTCAGCCACGTGTGGTTCGGTCCAAAATCCGCGAACCATTTTTTTGGCAAAGTGCATTGACGGCCCACCTGCCACTGTCCCCATCAATCATGGCCACAAAATCCCACAAGGACCCAAGAACTCAAGAAATGGAGAAGAAAAGGAAGGAGGAGGAGGAGGAGGAGAGCGGGGCCCACGGATGAGCCGCGCTCAACGAGGAGGCGCCACGCGTGCGCCGCGTCAACGATAAAGGAGCTTCGAGTCACGTTCGCTTCTGTCACCTGATCCTGGGGAGCACCTCTCGCCAGGCAGAGATTCTTGGAAGGAGGAAGAAGGAGGAGGAGGAGGAAGGAGACATTGGCAAATGAGCGAGCTCGGAGGAGCTTGCTTGGCGCCGTGTCGGCAGCGGCTGATCCCTTGCTCGACGGGCGGCGGGAGGGGCGAGTGGGGGCGTCCGAAGCAGCGCCGGTTCTTGCGGTGCCGCGCCGCCAGCCGCCACCGCGGGACGGCGGGGAAGGAGGCCCCCACTTACACGTCCAGGATCGCCACCGACATTCCGCTTTACGAAGCTCCCGGGGTCTGTCTCTCTCTCTCTCTCTTCTGGGGGCTATTGGGGGGTCATTGCTTTGTGGGTGACTTCGCGTTGCGCGTGTGTGCAGGCTTCGTTCGATCGGTATCTGGAGGATAAGCCCAGGGTGTTCCAAGCCATCTTCCCTGATAAACGCAGGAGCCAGCAGCTCAACGAGGTTTTGCCCTCTGAATTATTACCGCTCTGTTCCTTTCGATTCGTTTGCACATCCCCGATGGTTGTTTCGAAGTTGGTGAAGATGAGGGCTTCCTCTGGAGTAGAAGTGATGGGTAGCCTAGTCACCCTTTGTTTGATTTTTCACACCGCAATTCCTTACAGACGCGCTACCCGTGTTACGTTGTTGGCGTTCAGTTCGTCTCTGTGATGAGCTGGATTCGCATCTCGCGAAACATGCTTCTGCAGAGTCCTATGTACTGGTTGAGCGATTGCTGGCTGTAGCCACAGAGCAAATCTTTCATGTTCATGGTGATTCTCAAAACTCCACGAGGAAGAAAATGTCGGGCATAGTCTAGAACATCTCGTACCTCGTGTTCGTCGAAGAATCTTGATGTTTGGTCTGTGAAATTTTCTGGCATCGCCTTTAAGGTGACGGCTATATTTCTCCTGGTGCTGCTTATTAGGACACAAACAGATTGCAATCATAACATTTTCCAGCAAAACTTGAAACCTCGAACCCGATACTTGACAACTAGTTGTAAATTACTAACAGTGAGTGACAGAAAAGACAAGTCACCGTAGGTTAACTACATGTTGGCTTGGAGCCTCTGTTCTCAGGCTGTGATGCAGTAGTCACACTTGGCAGACAATTGACCTTCTCGTGTTGCCAGGAGATCATTATTCTTTATGGTTTATTTAGAGGCCCGTCTATGTTTCACAAGGTTGACTCTATATGTGGCTGCATTAGATGACAACCCAAGTAAGCAAATGATAATGTGACCAGAAAGTCATCCTGAATTTTTTAAAAGGGAGAACCATAAACACTGTAAATACCTTCAGGTAGAGCTCATGATGAGTTCGATAATTTGTTAGCGCAGTAACCAGCGAATCTTATTTGAATAAGAGGCTTCAGAATTGGCTAATCAATCCAAGTGATTCTAGCAGCCACAGAAAAGGAGGAATGACTTCTTCATCTTTCGTATACTAGAGTTGTATAGCTAGATCTGTAAGACCACACTATTCCTGAGTTTGCTTGCTTTACAAATCTAGTCAAATCTCAAATGCCATGACTGTTTACCTTGTAAACGGTACTTCTTTTTCTTTTTTCATATTTCTTTGCAGGACTGAATGCTCTTGTCCTGTCCAAAATCTCAAGTTAATTGTTATGCAGGATCAGTGGAGAATTCAGATGCTGCCCATACAATTCCTATTCCTGACCGTCTGGCCTGTAATAGACATGAGATTGAGATGCAAATCAACGGGGAGAGATTATCCGCCACAAATTCCTCAAGATGTTTCTAAAGTTCTTGAACTTGATATTGTAAGGATTAAAGTTCGACAAATTTTGCGGTGATTTATTTCTTTTCCTCACCTTTATGACAACTCCAGAACCATTCTTCTATAGACACGGTGGGAGCTCCAAGGGCTAGACAGCGTTCTTGAGCCGTCTCATTTTGCGCTTGGTGTAAAAGGAGCACTTTACCCAGATAGACGAGGAACAAGGAGCCGACTCAAAGGTCAGCTAGAGATGAGCATAAGCTTTGTCCTACCTCCAATGCTTGCTCTGGTTCCTGCAGATGTCCGCCAAAGTGTTGCAGAATCAGTGAGAAAATCAAAGCCGCCTAAAGTTCACCATCAATGTGTTTATTTGTACTGTAGTTACTTTCTGCAAGAATTTAAGATATTTTCAGATCTCCGAGCAACACCTTACGAAGACCCATACTGGTGATCAGGTATTGACGAGGCTGGTAGAGAACATGAAGCACAAAGTTAACGGTAGCTTGCTTGCAGATTATAGCAAATTCAAACGAGAGCAACCGAGGCAGCTGGTTTAAGTCCATCCATGACAGGGCAGTGAGCATGCCTAAGGTGAAAGTTGAGACCAGTGCCCCGCACTGGACAGACAGCCTGAAGAATCTTTCTTACGTGCCAGGATCATTGCATTTTTCGCTAACTGAACTCCATCAGTCCACTTACACGTTGCCTCAATGCGGATATAGCAAAATATGGCTGATGTGCAAGAGCACCCCTGAAGGTCTATATGTAGCAGTAGTCAGATGTAGGCATTGCTGTCAGTCTCTCATTCTTGAATAATTTCTTCACTTTTCACTAATTAGGACATGTCCGAATATACCGGCTTAACTTTCAAAATTGTAAGCCATTTTGTATTGGCATGTTATCTAATTTGAGATGTGAACAAGATCTGCAAATTCATCAATTATGGTGCAACACCAGAATGCAGGGCTTTTCAATGTTAATGGCAGCCCTACCTTTCTTTGACAGGCCATTGATTTTCGAACCTCTAACCAGGCAGGAATTTGTTTCCTACAATTCAAGAAACCAAATGTAGCATAATATGAGCATTGCTATTTCTGCAGACGACTTATCATTGGAATTGAAGTTGGTCATTAACACGAATCTATGACCGAGGTTCAAGATCTAACAAACTCAGAAAGTTAATAGTTGAAGCAGTCAGCATTCACCAATAGTCAGAACAAGAACAGGAGCCATGCTTGAAATGGTGAAACCGACTTCGGTCTCTTATAACAATTTCCCTTTCGTATATATCTGACACAATCTTTATAGCAGCATGACAATCTTGACATATTCTTAGATTTTTCATTATGTACAAAGGTGTTCGAGCCCTGGTGCTTATAAGCCCAAAGCAAACTGCCAACTTCTCACTGTGTGAGAACAGTGCCTGCTCCTTCTCTTCCTCATTGAACACGTGATGGGAACCAGTTAATAGCTGTAAGCTAGTATTCGGAATGTAACCGGCCAAACGCAATCTCCGTATCATTTCATCCAGCATAACGTATATTTCTCTTGTTCGTGGATGTGACTTATCTCCAGCAGAGAACTGATGAAACTTGCCATTGGTATGGATAAAGCTTATTCCAGGCACCTTCCTCGTGGTCCCCATGCTAAGAACCTGCCTAAGCGAATTGGCTTTCTCCAGCTTTCCTTCCAGAGCATACATATTAGATAGCAATGCATGGTATTCTGTATTTTGAGGATCCAACTGAACCAGCTGCTTCATAATACGTTCGCCAAGCTGGAGTTTGCCATGGACATGACAAGAACCCAAAAGAGATCCTAAAACCACTTCATTTGGAGGGACAAGCATCGTCTTTATAACCATCTCTGCTTCCTCTATCTCACCAGCCCGACCTAGAAGATCCACCATGCATGCATAGTGTTCCACTTTAGGTCTTATGCCATATACAACTTGAAGATCGCGGAAAAAGCGACGGCCCTCATCAAGAAGGCCCGAGTGGCTGCAAGCGTTCAACAGAGACGTAAAGGTCAGGTCATCTGGCTTTGCTTCTTTGAGCATCCGAGGGAACATAGCCACTGCAACTTTACCCAGCCCGTGCATTGCCAATCCACTAAGAATTGCATTCCAAGTGACTGCATTCCTATCAGGCAAGTACTCAAAAACTTTCAGTGCACTATGAATCCTACCGCATTTGGCATACATGTCAAGTAGTGTTGTTCCCACCATGACATCCATATGCATACCCATTGTCTTCAAAGCATAGACATGAACCCACTTCCCCATCATCACATCTCCCGACTGAGCCGAAGCGGATAGGAGAGAACAAAGCGTGACGCTATTTAATCTCATACACCAACCAAAAACTGCTTCATCTAAAAGGCTAAAAGCTTCCCCGGTATATCCACTTTCCACATAGCCCGCAAGCATGACTGTACTTGCGACCTCATTTCTCTCAGGCATCCGATCAAACACCAACCTCCCACTTGATACACCTTCCCACCTAATCGCGCCATCTAAAACCACAGTCCAAGACACCACAGTCCGTTCCTTCATCCCACAAAATACCCGCCTCGCTTCGCTCATCAACCCGCTCTTCACATACACGTCCATGAGGGCATTACATGCCTTGGTACTAGACTCAAACCCCATCTTCACCAACCACCCATGTCCCTGCATTCCCACATCCGCATTGACCAACCGAGCACAGGCATTGAACAGGCAAACCATGGTCACGTCATCCGGCCTCGCGCCCGCATTCCCCATCTCCACGAACAACCGTAGCACCTCGAAGGGCACGCCATAACGGGCGAGGGAGCCCATCAGCACGGTCCAATCGACGGTGTCCTTGTGCGAGTCAGGAATTCCGTCGAACAGCTTGCGCGCGCAGGTGACCTCGCCGCAGGAGGCGTAAACGTGCAAAAGGGTATTGTAAAGGAACGACCTCGGCGATGATGCGGCGAGCCCGGTGGTGAGCACCAAGGCGTGGAGCTTCTTCCCAGGGCCGAGAGAAGATTGTCGAGCGCATGCACGCAGAAGGGCGCGGACGTGGTGGGGGAGGGAAGAAGTGGAGGCTTGGGAAAGTGGCCATTTCATAAGAGGGACGAAGGATGTTGGGCATGCGGACCGATGAGATTGATGATTTGCGAAGGTCTCTTCGATCCGCTACGAGGATTAGACAAACGTTCGCAGAAATGAAGAATACGGGGCGACAGGATTGATCTACAACTCTGGGAGGGAAGGGAAGTCGTGTCTTTTGATTAGATTACGGCGAAAAGAAAATGTCTTTATTATAATGTCTATCTATCTTGGGTAACTGTAGAAATTGTAAAGGACTAAAAACATACAATTGATTTAGGGAAAAATGCCATGACTTACAAGCGAGTATTTAAATCGCAAACAGCCCTCCGTAATGTGTTGTGGTACCCACAACAAAGCAACAAGCATGCATTCGGGCCGTTTTCATTTTGTGAAAAACGAATGGACGAAAACTATTTTCATCAACGAAAATAATTTAAAGACAGATTGTTATTGATAATAAGATATTTTCTGTAACATTTATCTTCTTAAGTAACAGAAATAATTATTTTTAAGAAAATACTTTTCCACTCATTCATTATTCATAAAACAAACAGAATCCTTTTCTCTTGCGTGCCTGCACTGCACGTCCACGATACGGAAGTAGAAAGTCTGATTTTTTACCTGGTTTATATGGCAAAAGCCTTCCCCCAGTATCTTCTCGACTAGGCTACGAAACGACTAGTTCGAAAATAAGATTGAACATTAGCATAACCGAACCTATCCTTTCGTTGCTTCACAATTCTCAAACCAATTTTTCTATCTGAAGCACCTCAATGTGACCTCCTGCCTAGAGCAATCTAACATGGAAGACCAGGCGAAATTGCCAGGATAGATGGCGATTATAATTCAAATCTTGCTTTCACATACAATCAGAACAGTGTACAGAAGGGAAGTGAGAAGTTTCAGCAGTTCAAGCAAAAACTGGACGCAGAAGAGATCGCGGTATAAATTTCTTTGATGTTATCACTCAGCAGGCAAAGAAGACCACAAAAATAAACACCCCACACCCCAAACAAAAAGGCAAACCCAGAGGAAACATTACAATGCCTCACTACTTGAGTTTGAAGTACAATATCAGTCCGACAGCAATGACAAGAACTGCAATTATTGCGCCAATGATCCACTTGTTTCTGTTCATCCTCTGAGACATGGCGGTCAAAATTCTCTTGCTCTTACCAACGTTGTCATCCACTCCGTGAAGCTGCGAGAAGCAAAACATAATAAATACTTGCAAAGAATTACACCTTTTGCACTCATCACTGGACAGTCCGCCCCTAATAGATGAGAAGCAACTTCAGCTGAATCTATAGACAAAAGCTAGAAATGGATGCTAATAAAACGACAGAACATGAAGTAGCGTGATTGTGCACCGGCCTTAGCACCATCGATGATGACATGGCCCCACCGATACCAGTCTGAAATGGGAAGGTCCAAAAGCAAATGACTCGTGATAGAAACCCAATAAAAGCGTAAGCGGGAAGTACCGTGTTGTTGGCGTGTAAGAGAGACTGTCTCTGTTGATGCAAATCTTGAAGAATTGAAACGCCAAGCTCCTCCGTCTCCACCATGGTTTTTCTACTTTCCTTAATTCTTTCACCGGAATGATTTAATCTTCCTGTAGATGTCATCAGCCTGGCTCTTTGATCTGCTGATGCCTGTTTCAAAGTACAGGTGTCAAGAGTCAAAGATTGTTCGACAGACTAAAAAGCTGGAAATAATGCCTACCCATGATCAGAAGAAGCAAAAAGACGTGATGATAATTACAATAGCTTATTAGTTTATCTACAGAGTACATGCTACAAATGCTCAAGAGGAAGCCAATTAACCAACTAAAACAGCTAATTCTGCGCAGACTTAATACAATTGATATTGGCACAGAAACAACACGAGTATGAGAGAATAACTAAAGTGTTACCAAAAAAAAAATCATCTCGAGGAAAATCTATAGAGTAATTAATAAGGAACCACAAGAGTGTTTATAAACCCGAAAAAAAACTAAACAGATTGATGCATACCGTCAGAGTGTCGGCCATTCCTGATTCCATCAGCTCATCTCGAGCAGCCAAATTACCCAACAACAGTCTTTTAACTTGACTTTTTAGGTTGTTCAGATCGGATTTATATTCCCTTAACTTAGCGAGGAGCACTGCTTTGACATTGGGCTGCAAGCTTCTTGCCTCCAGGTCCATTTTCCGAATCTAATCAAATCAAACAGTGGGGATAATACACGACAAACAGAGTATATAAGGCCAACCAAGACTAATCTCTCTCAGAAAAAGCAACAAAACAATAATCAATTACCAAAGATTCCGCTTCATCAATTCCAACTTTGATTTCAGAAATCCTTTGCTTCTTCAGCTCTGCAGATGCACAATGCATTCAAAATAAAGGGTCATGAGCTTCCTGACCAGTTCTTCTTCTTCTCAACAGATGCAGGCTGAACTTCTCAGCTATCAGCAATCCTAGAAGTACAAGCTAAATGCAAGTGCTCGCACAAACTAAGAGCCAAATCACCTGTTCTCAGAAGAACACATCATATTCCCATTCGGGACGCTTTTTACCATACTCAACCCGTTTCCTATTAGTTTCCAAGAAAAACCCACATTTCGATCATCAACGAAGAACTTAAATCGAGCGATCGCGCTCATCGCCATCTAAACGCGGCACAGGCTAATCTACCCCCAAAACAAGTTGCTCTCCGTTCCTCGCGTAAAATGAAAACGAATCATTACCTCCATCGGCGGCCGAAGCCGAGGTGCACTTCCTCGACAGATTCGCCGACAGCTCGCAGTACTGCCGCTCGTATCCTTCGAACACCTCGCTCATCTTCCCCTGCAAGAAAAAAATCAAACCAGAACACGGGGAACGGGCTCCGGAGTCAGCGACGTCGACCGCGGGAGAGGGAAATCGAACACCGTCGCCGACCGGAATCTCTCAAAGACGCTAAGATCGCGCGGAACCAACTGCCGCACGCACCAGATCGATTCCGAACTCGCGTGATCGGCGACGGAGCAGGCGACCGGAGGCTGCGCCGGAGCACGGTGCGGCGCGGCGTTTCCCAGGGAAGCAGAAGCCGCGAATGGAGGGGAGGGGAGCGGGGAGGGAACGAGCGATGGCCCCAAAACGACGGTGCGCTCGGTGCGTGCTTCGTTGGCTTTGGACGCGACCAGAGGTGGTGGTGGGGGTGATGATGACACAGGAGTGATGATAAGGAGACGGGGCTGTGCGTGACCCCCGCGAGGGGAGATGTACACGTGTAGCCGATCCGCGCGAGGATTTAATGGCGGGTCACCTTTTCGATTTTTGTCTACGTGTCAACCCGTTGGGTCGTGGTAGAGTTGCTCCCCTTAATCCCTGAAAGAAAGCGGGGCGAATATACCATGTGAATTCCCTAAAAAATCCGAAATTTTAGGTTAAGTCTTAAATCTGTTCCGAATTTTTTTTTTATTTTAGAAAAAATTCGAAACTTTATGTTCAGTTCAAAATTTGCCCCGAATTTTATTTTATGTAAAAAGAAAATCAGAAAATTTCAATTTATTTTAAAAATATACCATCACATTAGCAATAAATCTACGTGGCTTGCTGACTGGATTTAAAACAATATTCATTGTCTTCTTCTCTAAGCCATAATTTGAAGAATAACGGTAAAACTGTTCGTCTCATTCACTTCACTGACAAGTCAAAAATATTTCCAAATTCTCCAACTCGACGCTTTCTTCCACGTCGATAACATATCCTCATCAAGAAAAAGTAATGGGGCGATAGGTATGATGACCATTCTAAGATATGAAAGTTAGGGACGATAACAAATCCATCCCAATAAAAAAATTTAAATTTAAGAAAAACCTAACTTTTCTCTAGACAAAAAAGTTCGGGCGAATTGTCCCTCGACCTAAAGTTGGTGCTTTTTACGAGACAAAAAAGTTCGGCGAGATTGTCCCTGACTAAAGTTGTGCTTTTTTACGAGACAAAAAAGTTCGGGCGAATTGTCCCTCGACCTAAAGTTGGTGCATTTTTACGAGACAAAAAAAGTTCGAGCGAATTGTCCCTCGACCTAAAGTTGGTGCTTTTTACGAGACAAAAAGTTCGGGACAAATTGTCCCTCGACCTAAAGTTGGTGCTTTTTACGAGACAAAAAAAGTTCGGGCGAATTGTCCCTCGACCTAAAGTTGGTGCTTTTACGAGACAAAAAAGTTCGGCCGAATTGTCCTTCGACCTAAAGTTGGTGCTTTTATGGGACAAAAAAAGTTCGAGCCAAAATTGTCCCTGACCTAAAGTTTGTGCTTTTTTTGGAATTAGGCCCAATAAAATTTGTTTAATTTAAGAAAAACCAAACTTTTAGGTTCGGTCCAAATTTGCTCCGAACTTTTTTTTGTCTAAAAAAAAGCCCCATTACTTTGTTGACGTGGATTTGTTATCGAAGTGGAAGCGCCACGTCAAGTTAGGACTGGATCACGGAGATATATTTTTTAAAAATAATTTGAATTTTGGTGATTTTTTTTCACAAAACAAAATTCGAGGCAGACTTGAGACTGGACTTAAAGTTTGGATTTTTTCTGAGATAAAAAAATTTCGGGACAGATTTGGAGTTTTTTAGGGCATTGGACCTTAGAACAGAGCAATTTTCAACATTATTTTATCATTACAAATGGTATTGAAACTGAAAGTATCCAATATTGATTTTTCTTTATTTAATTAATATTCCTTAACAAAAAAAAAATCACTTTCAATTTCGATCATTAGCCAACGTATACTTTTGGAAATTATTTAGGATAGATAGTTGTTATTGAGCAAAATCACTTGTGAGGGGATGAATGAAGATTTGGTGGTACATACACACCTCTATCATACCCAATAAATCTTTTTTTTTATAACATTAGGTTTCGAGCGGCACATGTTGCCGCCGGCGGATAGATGGCGGCTGCACCGTTGCAACGGGGGCGACGACAGCCTCCGCCACCACTCTGCAGTTGGCTCTCTCTATTGCGGTTGGCCTATTGTCTTTTTATTTATGCAAATATGAGGAAAAGACATTTTATTTTGTTCTATATTTTGTAAGGTTTCTTTTTTATTGTCATATAGATGACACGTGGGTTTTAGCAACTTAGCATGCACTTTTTCTGTCCATATACTCAAAGGATCAATTCGAAAAAAATATATATGTAGATAATTCGAGAATCAAATTATAAAAAAAGGTTCAAAGAGTTGGGGACACGTTGGAAAAGCGTACCAACGAAGAGTCGTTAGCAGCTTGACGAAAGCAAGTCCTTAAATTAATTCATCTGAATTATAAGACGTTAAAATTCGAGGTATTTCCTAAGAAGAGAGAAGAAAAAACTTTCTCCTCGATTGGAGAGCTTGGATATAAATAATGCAATCTTGTTAGCTCACTAAGTATAAACACATGGACAAGTGGGGCGGTCCTGATCAAGAGTAATATCCCCGTTGTGATAAGGTACCCTTGATAACCAATAACAAGGATTCACAACAAACTCCCGCCCAAGTATATACACATGGACAAATGGGACGGTTCTGATCAAGAGTAATATCCATATTGTAGTAAGGTACCATCGATAACCAACACTAATGATTTACAACATGAAAAATGACAGAAACAGTCCATGAACTTTGACCCAATGCGCAATTTAGTCCCTGAACTTTTAATTTGTTCAATGTAGTTCCCGAACTTTAGCCTAATGTTCAATTTGGTCCATGAACTTTTAATTTGTTCAATGTGGTCTTTGAACTTTTAATACATATTCAATTTAGTTTCTGAATTATTTGAAAATGTCCAATGTAGTCCTTCTATTAATTCAAGTTCGGGGACTACATTGAACATTTTCATATAGTTTAGGGATTAAATTGAACATGTATTAAAAGTCCATGGACCACATTGAACAGATTAAAAGTTCAGGGACCAAATTGAACATTAGGCTAAAGTTCATGGACTACATTGAACAAATTAAAAGTTCATGGATCAAATTGCACATTGGATCAAAGTTCAGGGACTGTTTGTGTCATTATCCCTTCACAACAAGCTCCCGGCTATATATATATAGATAATTCAAGAATCAAATTATGGAAAAAGAAAGGTTGATAGAATTGGGGACACGGGAGGGGGGTATTGATATGCACGTGGGGAAAAGCGTTAACGGTACAACTGGGGGGAGTCGCTAGCGTCTCGACGAAAGAGAAAGGTTGAGATTGAAGGGTACGAAGAGCAAAAGCACGGCGGTGGTGGTGTTGGAAGCTTCTCAGTTTCAGCTCTTTCCCTTTTCCTGAAAAGCTCGCGGTCGCAGCGAGAGAGAGAGACTCGCAGTTGCTGCTCATGCTCGTGCTCGTGCTCGTGCTCGTGCTCGTGCGACGCCAAGCTTCGCTCGCTTCTCTCACCGTCACTCTCTCTCTGGTCTTACTGGCATAGCCAGGTAAGGTACGCTCCGATTTTATATGCGTCGCTTCCGCATCTCCGAGCTGACATCTTCGTTCGCGCTTTGTTTGTTTTCTTTTTTTTTGTTTCCATGTTTTGGTGTTGTTGTGCACCGGTTAAGGTTTAGTTTATACGGGGAGCAGATGTTCTCGGATTGGAAGAGCGAAGGAAAGTGGTTGAGGTTTACTTTGATTTGCTTCTGATTGCTGTAGCGATACTTAGAATTTCTGAGACATGATGACTCTGCCGCCGTTGCTCTGGTTCGTATCGTTTTCTTAGTGGCGTGATTGGCCGGGCAGTGTTTGGGCTCGATTTCTCCGAGTGAGAGCAGGCAGAATCGCCCTGAACGTGAACCAAACTTGAGTAGGCTGTCGGGCAGTGGTTACTTTATTTGTAATTTGCCTCGGCTCGCTTTGACCGGATCGAGATGCTCCGGCGGGTAGAAATTACGAGAAAAGCAGGTCGATCTTGTGATATCCTCGTGATGTTCAGCTGACCACTTCTTGTGGTTACTGGGTGCATGTGGTACGGCGTAAGTGCGGCGTTTATCCTCATTGATGAACGGGGTATGTTTTGTTCGCGGTGAAGATTCTTCCGTGCTGATTCCTCTGGTTCTTAATAAAGCATTAACGTCGAGAGGGTATTCGGTTAACAGGGTTTGCATGAATTCTGCTGCAGGTTGCTTTGAGATTGCGGTAGAGTTAAGTCTAATTTAACTCCGTGTTTCGTGCAGAATCTTGCATAAAAGCAGTTGCCTGTGGGTGTTGAGTTTTGATCGGCTGATTCGTTGATCTTCTCGAAGGGATGATACTCTCTGCTCTTTTAACTTCTGTCGGGATCAATCTTGGGCTCTGTCTTCTGTTTTTCACTTTATATTCCATCTTGAGGAAGCAGCCTAGTAACATCACTGTCTATGCACCTCGCTTGGTTGCTGAGCATAAGATTGAGCAGAGGAGGCAGTTCAATCTCGAGAGGCTACTTCCTTCTCCTGGGTGGGTGAGACAAGCATGGCAGCCCACCGAAGAAGAACTATTATCACTCTTGGGCCTGGATGCTGTAGTTTTTACGCGTGTCTTTATTTTCAGGTAATTGAATATTCTACATTCTCTTCTGAATCATTATTTAAATAACCGGTATGGATTGTTTTTGAAAATTCAAATTTTATTGGTCAAGAAATATTTCGACCTCCTGACATGTTGGTTATGTGTATTTTAGTAGGATATGATCAGTGATGAGCTGCAACTTGTAGCACTTGTGTATCTGTCTGCTTTTACTGCACCACGATAAATATGCATGGTCTTGCTATTGTGGATTAGGGACGTGTCTGACCCCTTTCAATAGAGTCCAACGTACCTTTAATTTTACCTCCTTCAGGGCCCCAGCTTTTCCAGCTGCACACTTGTCAAACTCCCTAAACTGATAGCATCCCGTGATCAATGCTAGAACTCTTGGCATTGCTTCCACTTGAACAAATATGTCTTCAGGCCTCTGCCATAAGTGTTCTTCCTACAACACAACTACTGCCACAAGCACGTTGTCCTCCCACCTCCATGGCTTTGTCTATGAAGCATGACTCCATTCTTTTAAAAGCTTTTCATTTGTCACCTTTATGCCACTTTATGCAGCTTATACTACTGTAGCTTAAGTAAATGGACCAAAAGATGATATCTCGAGTCAACAAATGGCTCTCTCTCTCTCTCTCTCATCTGCAACACACATTACTAGGCAGCATCCTCATTCTTTCACTGATGCATTAGAGGCACAAGTCTTGTAAATTACAAAATCATACATATTCAATTGCGATTTCGAAAGGGACTGTGATTTTGATGAAGTGATTCCATTTTAGGACCTCTTTCCATTCTTCGTATTGAATAAGATCCTCGGATATGGAACAGCAGCTCCAGTCTCCTTTTCGCGCATCGATTATGCCCCCATATTTCAGGTTGTAGAAACCTGGAGGATCGAGGTGGAGAAGTTTAGCTGAAGAAACACTTTGTAAAATGTGGAATATGAAGAAAATGTCAGTGTCTTTGGTGATATTTTTAGGCATTTTGTCAAGACAAGTTGAACATGATTTGATGTATTCAGTCTTCAGCAAATTTAGGAGTGTTTTGTGGGTAAGGAGATGATTTATTGAGGAAGAGGAGCTTGTCATTACAGATATCAGTCCTGGGCTCTCTTGTTATTCCGCTCAATGAGGAGTGTGACAAGAAAGCCTTCCAAGGAGAGGATTTTTTTGAATTTTTTGAGCCTCAACATGTTACATTGTGGTATATTGGAAAATTTTGTATATGTATATACATTGACTGACATTTTAGCCTTTTTTTTTTTTGGAACTGAGTTCTTTTTGGTGCTTGAGTTCTTTTTATTCGTGGTCTTGCCTCCCTAGTGGCACTCTGGTAGATACCGCTTTACCTATAAAAGATCGTTTGCATGAATAGCATGTGTCATTAGCCAGCTGAAGTATGTATTGCTGTAGTACACTACAGTAAAAGGGAACATGGAATGTCCCCTGTTCAAAGCATGAGGTTCAGGAATATTTTACTTGCTAAATTTCTTCTTTGAGATGCACTTGGGGACATAAGTAATGGCTTAAACATTATACTGAATGAGCAATGATCATCTCTAATTGAAATGTTGAATATTTTGGACCTTTAATGTGACTGGATGCAACATTCGCATTGGTTATCTGTATACTAAAGATCTTCTACCTTTATTTTGCTTTTATGCAAGTAGCCTCTATACATTTATCTTCAAATACACCCTTGCTGCATCATCTCCCTTCTAGCATTCACCTTCACAGATTTTCTTTGGTTGACTGAACTGGATTGTCTTGTGCAGTTTGAGAGTATTTAGCTTCGCTACAATTGTTGGGATCGGCATTCTCCTTCCTATTAATTATCTGGGTACTCAGCTGAGTGATGATTCTGAACTGCAAAACAAGTCTCTCGACTCTTTCAGCATTTCGAATGTCAATGACGGTTCAAACTGGTAATTTTTGTGGTCTAGCGGAAGTAATTAGCCTTGGATCTTACCTGCTGAACTTGTGCAATGACATTAATGGTTAAATAAATGGCATGAAACTACAGCTATGCATGTGTCCATATTGGAGTTATTATTTGCAAGACCAGGATTTAATATTCGGAGGAATACTTTTCCTATTTGTAAGTATTGGTAATAGATGGCGGGTTCTATGTCGTGTTATCTATTTAGAACATCTTAGTTCCTTATTGGCCACTTATTTCTGTGATATTTTGAGCACAGCATACTCTGAATTTTTTTCATTAATTTTTCAGTCCATTTCTTTGTTTTGCTTTATAACAATCTGGAAAGTGGAGAGTGAAGTAACTGCTGGATTCTAGGGTCGGTAAATCTTTTTCCAGATTTAATGAGCAAACTGGAAGACTATTATTGAACCCTGATTATGACATATTTTTCTCAAGGTTGTGGATCCACTTTTCTGCTGCATATATTTTTTCCGGAGTGGTGTGCTACCTTTTATATTATGTGAGTAGTCTCTCTCTCTCTGAGTTAGTTTGTCGAAGCTTTTCAGTTAAAATCAACATTAACTTTTGATGATTAACTAGATTGTTTGATGTTTTGCAGGAGTTAAGCTATATATCTGACAAGATAATTAAGTGCTTCTATTCATGCAAACCTTTGCCTCATGACTTTACTGTACTTGTCCGTGGTATCTCCACTTCATTGGGACACACCGTTAGTGAAGATGTAGAGAGCTTTTTCACAGAGTACTATCCTTCTACCTATCTTTCCCATTCAGTTGTTCGTCGAACCAGCAAACTTCGAAGTCTCATAGTAAGCATTCTTATTACGAAGAATTGTTGGGTTACGTTCATCACATGCACTATGGATACTGTTGCTGGTCAATGTAATGCTTAGATGAGATAAATCCTAGAAATGTATGCCATGGGTTTCTGGCAGAATCGCATGGTTTTCGGTGTGTAACGAACCATCCTGGCAGAACAATAACATCCTGCTAGTTTTTTAAAAGTTACATTGTCTTTCATAATTCACAAAACTCAACTTAAATGTCCATGTACAAACGTGGATTGGGTTGGGGGGGGGGGGGGGGCGGGGAAGACAAGCATGCAATGGATCACGCTTCTCATTAGGGGACTGTGTATTGGCATTTCATGCAGTGGGAGATGCTAAAGAAAAGAACTAATGCATATCGTGGTTTAGTCTTTTAATGTATCTTAATAGGTATAACTTGTGAAGCAAAACACATTACCTTTCCAAGGCCTACTTGTTTGAACTGTTTGCAATTGTTTCTTGATTTTGCCAAAGGAGTTTTAAGGGACCATAAATTGCATAAATATTAGTTTTGAAAGGAAATAACCACAGACAAGTTTGTGGGAAATACAAAATAATATATGTTTCCTGTTTGCTTGGTTTTTGACCGTGCTTGAGTAAAGCTAGTGCCTGCAGCCAATTATTGGAAACTTGCTTATACTGATTAGTTGATTTTTCCGTCGTGAGTGATACATATAGATCTCACAAAGAAGAAAAAAAAATTGTACAGCAAAGGGCGAGGTCTGTAGAGACAAAAGTAGAGAAGAGATGACTGAAACAAGAATAATAAAGTCACCTAAATTAGGAGAGAACTGTTTTTTACTCTCTCTCTCTCTCTGTTGCGAGGGTGGAGAGGATCTTGCTGAAACAATGGAATCAGTCAGCATTTTAGCCCCTTTCTTATATGGTCCATGAGTGATTTTTAATATGCATATGTTATCTTATTTCATATTGATTTTATGTAAAGTACATCTGGTATTTGATGTTAACTCATTTGAAGAGTCCTTGCAAGTTGAGAAATCCTTCTTTTCTGGTGTTGAACATGATGAATCCCTGCCTGTTTGCTTAGCTGCCTCCAAACCCTATCAGATATTCACATACATCATATTCCTTTTTCAGAGTAATGCAGATAAGCTGTACGAGAAACTGACTCGCGTAAAATCGAATAAGGATACTCCAAGAAGGTTCAAACGTGATGGTCCATTAGGACTTTTTGGACGACAAGTTGATCTTGCAGACCATGATGAGAAGAAGTTGGAAGATCTAGAGGAGCGGGTGAGGATAGAGCAGTCTTTGTTAGCAGGACAGGTAGGTGTTATTTGGCATCTGCTAAGAAACCGCTACTTAAGTAAGGTTTTATTTTCGGTGTTATCTTTAAAGAAAGAAAAGCTCGATACTAGAAATTATTTGTATAGATCATCAAATATGAAACTCCTTCAGATATGTGCTAACATGTGCATCTCATGCACGTGTTATGTTCAAATGCACAACAAGCAAAGCATGCACACATGAACACTCATATCCTGGGGGTTTTCTTTTTTTGGGTTGGTTCCCCTTTCTGACTTGGTCAGACGGAACACCATCTGCCATATAAACATATGTGCTTCTGTATTTTGCTTAGTAAACCAATGCCTCAGCTTGCTTGTAAGGCAGGAAGTGCATGCTAATGACTGTTTGCATGCAATAGAGATCCTACCCAATGGTTGACTTTTGTTGTTGGCATAGTGGTTTAGAGAGCAGATCTCTGTGTGTTTTAAGCACACAACATGGATTTGATGCCCTTGCGCTATCACGTGCAAACATATCTAGGTTTCACTCACACCTGATCCTTGATGTTAGCGGGGATATTTCTAGTGCCTGAATTTATCCACATTAAGTGGACTGCCTCCTCCTCCTCCTCCTCATCATCATCATGATGTTGCCAACCTCGTGATGAGAGAGAGAGAGAGAGCTTTTAAAGAAGTAACGCATACACATGATTGGAGTTGGACTTTCTATCATAATGCTTGATTATTAAGCTTGATACTTGATTGCACTATGGCTGTGAATTTGTTAGGAAGTTCCAGCTGCCTTTGTCTCATTCAAGACACGCTTTGGTGCTGCCACAGCTCTGCACATCCAACAGAGGATTAACCCTACCAAGTGGGTCACTGAGCAAGCTCCTGAACCTCAGGATATTCACTGGGCTTTCTTTTCTGCATCATTCTTAAGAAGATGGATCAGCAACCTGGCTGTGGTGGCTGCATGTATTGCCATAACTATTTTATTTCTCATTCCAGTTGTAATAGTGCAGGGTCTTACTAATCTGGATCAGTTGGAGACCTGGTTCCCTTTCCTTGAAGGATTGTTAAAAATGTAAGTGGAAATACAGGTTCTTTGATGCCAATTTAGTATCTGATGTGAACACACATTACATGAATCATCATCAAAAAGATTATTACTCAAGAGTAGTAACTTGGTAAGTTTTGAGATACTCTATCTGGACCCTTTTCCTCCATATGCAAGAATGGTTGACCAGACTCCAATTAAAGGTCCAAGAAGGCATTTTGTCTCAACTCAAAGCTAGATGATAGACTATGTAATCATGTAACTCACATTGTTTCATGTCCATGGTCACATTGAGCATATTTCAAAGTCAAGATCTGTTTTCGGGATAAAGGAAACCACCTAATCCACTATCCAAGTATCTTGGTCATAGCACTGTTTTTTGTTGATTGAGTAGAACATCGGAGAACAGCTTTGCTTATCTTTGCCATGCATGTTGTTCAAAAGATCATTGGCTTTCCATTTAGCCTTTTAGAAAAGGCAAACCCAAGAGAGTCGTGCTCTGTTGGTTGAGTTAAAGAATTTTACGTTCTTCTTGTTCAATTATTCAATTTTGTACATGGCACTAGCTGAATGGTATTTATTCCGGGGCTGCAGAACATTCATTAGCGAAGTGATAACAGGATATCTTCCCAGTCTGATTCTTCAGCTGTTCCTCTCTCTTATACCCCCTGTTATGGTGGTACTTTCTTCAATGCAAGGATATATAGCCTTTAGCCAAATACAAAAAAGTGCATGCATCAAGGTGTTGTGGTTTACAATCTGGAATATTTTCTTTGCAAATGTACTATCAGGCTCGGCTCTCTACCGAGTTAATGTTTTCCTTGATCTCAAGAATATTCCTACGGTGCTTGCTGAGGCTGTTCCTGCTCAGGTATTAAAATATTCCTATCGTGAATCCTTATTGTTTCTTCAAAGAGTCTCTTTTTACTGATTCTAATTGGATTATCCATAGTACATAGTTACTCTTTTTTCCTAGCCATCTCTTATAAAATCAACAAATCGTTGGGAGTATAGTGAGCGGTCCTAAAGCTTTCCAAAGAGTTAACATTGCACTCTCTTCTCCTGTGAGGTCACTACTGTATCCAAATGTAGCTCTTAACCTTCAAAAAGAGAGCCATTATACTGTGTTCAATTCTTGAAGGGCACGCAGCATTTTATCCTTATGCGTCCATTATGAAGGTGACATATGGTGACATCAGCGGTATGGACCTAAAACAAACAACGTTGATCACATGATAGGTTATCTTTCTCATGTCAGATCCATTAGAGAGGTTGGGTTCTACTGTAATTGTTCTAACCCCTCACTTTGAAAAAGTAGGGAAAAGTGGAGCTAAGACAAATCTTACACACGTCTCATGCATAGGCAAGGATTTGGCATAAAAGTGAAGTCTGATTATTGATTATAAATGGAGCAGCAAAAATGGACATGGAAACAGGGGACCACTTGCGCGAATCCCATGTAAAAGTTGCCAGTCAATTGTCAACTTATCTAAAAGATTAAAGATAAAAGTGTGTTTTAACACGTAAATGTTCTACAAATGGGACCAAGCAAATGGAAGATAAGAACTATCAACAGCTTGAAACACTGCCGAGAGAGTGGATGAAGCATGTGTAGATTCTACAATGCCGTTATTTGTGGACAACGGTGTACTTCATCAAAATTGTGGCTTGAATCTTCCAGGGGAAGTGGAAAGTATTCTGCCACTGTTGTTGGATGACCGTTTGAATGAGAAGACTTGCTTTGTCATATGATGATTGAATGGTCAAATTACCAAATTTAATGCATAGAGTTTATATGTATTTGGGTAATTTTGAGAATATAATGCAGCTTGTTCATTATTCATGTAGGCATCATTCTTCATTGCATATGTTGTAACATCTGGATGGACCAGTGTATCGTCAGAGCTTTTCAGGCTGCTTCCACTCATCTTTCATGTTTTGGCAAAGGTCTTTGCTAGAAAAGATGCCGAGGAATTTGAGGTTCCACAGATTCCTTACCACAGTGAGATACCCAAAATTATCTTCTTTGGGGTTCTTGGTATAACATACTTCTTCCTTGCTCCACTGATTCTGCCATTCCTCCTGATTTATTATTGCATGGGATACATTGTCTACCGCAACCAGGTTAGGATGCCCTATAATCTTATTTCTCTGGTTTAATTTTTCTGTGTGTTAGTTAAAAAGAAGGGGACCGTGTGCTTTATTTTGCTCAGGAAAAACATTGGAAATTCAATATGTATTCGGCGGTTTAAAGGCATAACAATATTTCAATGCAGTTCAAATTTTGTGTTCCTTTTATTGAATACTCTATTATACAACTGTCTTGATGAATATCAAGATTTTCCTTGTGCTGGGATTTGTTTCTTTTCTGAGTTCAGGTTGTTATTCATACATTGGCGATAACTGAGCTGTATCTTACTGGGTTAATAATTCATAAACAAATGTAAAAAAGAAAATTAAAAAAAAAGGAACAAGATGGCCACTGTTCTACGTAGGCCTATAATTGGGTCTTATGTCTTACATAAACTTTACTATTTATATTCCTAAAACTTAAATTTGGACCGCCCTTGTAATATCCACCAAAGGAGACGGATGAAAAATAATGTTGATGTGAAGTGCCTTGTCTTCATTTTTCGTCCAGCTCTGAAATGAGCACTTCATTGATAAATGACAATTCTCTGTTTAAACCCTCTGAAGATAAGTATTATTAGAGATTGTTGTATTTTCTGATTCATAGGATGCTAATCAGCATATAATGTTGTTGCTGAGCACACACAGTCTTTGTATTACTATATGCTTATTATGTGCATGTGTACGAGGGTGTGTGTGGTTGTGTGCTGAAAATTTGATGTCCTCTCTAAAGGAAAACCATGATCCTTACCAGGGGAATGGCTGTACCTGACTTTTGTTGAGACTGACTATTTGTTCCTCTCTCCGTTTGCAGCTACTGAATGTTTATATCTGTAAGTATGAGACCAGCGGAAAGTTTTGGCCCATAGTACACAGTTCAACAATTTTTTCCTTGGTCTTGATGCATATTATTGCTATTGGTATCTTTGGACTTAAAAATCTTCCCCTAGCATCAGGTTTAATGGTTCCTCTCCCAGTTCTCACCCTTCTGTTCAATCGGTATTGCCAGAAACGGTTCCTGCCTCTATTTAAAGCTTATCCAGCTGAGGTACGAAATAAAAACTGCATGGATTTGTCTGTGCTGTCTTCTAACTTTATTTGTTACGTTTTGAAGTTAGAGCTGATTCTTGACTTGCCACTTAGAGCATGAAGTCTGCTTACTGATGTTCTCCTAAATTAGATTTTCATGGCAGCCATGTTCTGTTTTAGTATGGATTCATATCTTTTTCTTCACGAATCATGCTCTTGTAGTATTGAACATATATCAGTAGAATGCCAGACGACCACTAGCTTACTGCATTGTTCAAAAGCATGTCAAGTAGTGTTATGGCAGCACTGCTCTTGCAATCTGCTGGTACAACATTGTCAAACTAATATGCTCTCTTGCTGCGTTTACTGCTTACCCAAATAGATATGTTGGATGCTTCTACATGAATTTGCTAAATATTCGTGATCTCCCGCATGTTACTTACTATGCTTCTTAACCAGAAAAATTTCACTTGGCAGGGTACTATATTACTTTTTCATGTATACCGTTGACCTGACCCTTGGTGGATTCTCTTCAGTTTTTGCTGCATTAGATGCTCTAACCCATCTCTTCTCCAGAGTCAATGATTAGTTACTGTTACTAAACTGTTTGTCCCAAAAGTTTAAACTGTTACTAAATATACCTAGTAATGTTTGTAAGGCATATTCCTTAATGGTCTCCGTCACTTGTGAAGTGGGCTTATATGTGAATTTGGGAGATAAATGCGACAGAATAATAATTATACAAGGGCATGTAATTCAGACCTTTGACCCATGCTTCAATGCCTTGTTACAAAACCGTCTGTTATAGAAGTTTAGGTTGTTAGGAAATGGATTGACACTGTATATATATGTTTTATATATATATATATATATATATATATATATATAATATATATGTACAAATTATTTACAGCTGTTATGGAACACATACGTTTGAATTTGAGATCGACTCTAGGAACTTTTTGCTGATTAATAGTGTGAGGCTAAGAAAGATCTTTAGCAATCCAGCAGCTGAAGGAAGGTTTTACACCACAAATTGATCTGCAATAAGGTGTTTTTACTGATGAGGTTCTCCCTGGATATTGTCCAAGGGTCCAAAAAGCTCAATGATATGAGTATACTATAATACTAGTCATTGTTGGATTATAAAATACTTGATTATTAACGATTCCCTTAGAGGATATTAGCAAAATATATCTAGAGAGAATAGCCCTTTACTCAGGAAGATGATAATTGGGTTCATAGTGAAGAAATTATTTGCTGATCATCTTGGTGGGATTATATTATTACCTCAGAAATGGTTGGTGGAGTCTTAGTATATTGCGACCTTTAAGCCAATTGCTATCATGAGTTATTGCTGGAGCTTCAGTGTCCTATGTCACCTTCATCAAACTTGAGATGCAGCCTCTGTTTCGTCTTTTTCTTTTTATTGTCATCTTTCCAGTTAAACTGACTGAAACCATTGACCGGATTTTGAATGATTATAGTTTACATTTAATGATCTATGAGGAGGAGCCTGAATGCTGTGTCCTTGCAGTGCTTGATAAAGAAGGATAGCGAGGACCAGAATGATCCCACGATCGGTGAATTCTACAATAAATTGGCCACTGCATATGAAGATCCAGCTATGAGGCCAACACAATATTCACTAAGCACCGATTCGCGCAGCACTCCCCTTCTTCAGGCTGCAGAAGTTGAGAACCTAGCTTGACGAGGAATTTCTTCTTGTATATTACCAGAGTTCCCGAGTTTGTTTTGAGTGATTTGGGTTGGTGACGTGAGAAAAACCTGTCTATCCAATACTAGCATAAAGTTCGATTCAGAAATTATCCATTGTTTTGGGGCTGTTCTTGAACTTGAAGTATCAAGCGCGTCCATCAGCATTTATCGGTTTGACCTTTGGCATTGGGGGTTATGGAAGGTGCATCGGTATTGTATGGGTTCTGTTGCTAGATATGTATCCTTGGCCAGCATAAGTATAGAGATGAGCACATGTATCAAAGGGTTTGTAAAGACTGAACTGGGTGATTCTTTGTTCTGATTTCCAAAGGATTGATTCTGAAGGATGAATTACTTTAAAAATATGCAACTCTCTCTCTCTCTCTAAAATCACAGCCTCAACTCAATACAAGTTCACCTTTATGACTGTGTTTTATTATAAGTATTGCAATCACTGTTGGGAAAAAAAAAAAAAAGCTTCTACAGCAGAAGCTACTACTTTACCAAATGAACTCCAAATGGTTTAACAAGAAATAGCTATCAGAATGGCAGCCATATATGATCAAACCATCTCATGATCATACTTGAATATGTTATTGTGTATGTATTTTTTTTCCGGGTTGGTGCGAATAATCACTCTTATTCTTATGACTAAGGAAAGAAGAACTTTTGATTACCTGCCTCGCTTATGTATAACCGAGTCCTTTTGATTTCTAAAAACTGATTACTCATCCTTAACTTTTCGAGGGATCCTTTATCGGCAGTTGTGAATAACTGGTCTTTTTTCTTTCAATCTTTTCGACCTGAGTTCTATAAAAGCAAGTAAAAAAAGATTGAGAAACAGAGCCATCCGATTCGATTCGTTCTCGATAGCCATGAGACGATTAATGCCAACAAAAGACCGTGAGCTCGTAATTCGACATAGATTTCTCGAAATTGAGCTATAACAAGAGGATGATGTTGGCTTTGCTAGGGTTGTATGTCTTCTTCCTTTTACAACATTATTCCCTCCCATCACACCAACGGCCTGAGGGTGCAAATGGGCCGGTTCTTCCACTAACTGACTAAATAATGTGGTTCCAATGTATCCTCACCATATATTACCCTTTTTATTAAATTGTTTGTTAACTACAATGTTGCAAACTTACAAAACAACAAACGAAATAAAGGAGTGCTTTGTCACCATCTCCACTTCCCTTATCTTTTCTCCTGTACGCCGTACCGTCCCCACAAGATTTGCTCTAGTCTCCCCCCTCCCCCCTTTAAAGTCATCTAATTTTGCCTCCAATATTTCTTGGTATTAAGTCCCCAATTTTCTTAATTTTGCAGTCCCCTAATATTGGAATAAAAGATATATATGCATACGATACCATGTGGTCGTTCATCTTAATATGTAATGATAAGTACACATTTTGTGGACCATAATAAACGCCATTTTGTTTTACATTCTTAATATCGGGTATAGCTGTAATTTGTGGTATGTAACGATGACATCAAACGGGTCATTAGGGTTTTCCATTAGCTGCTCGTTAGTTGTTAAAATAGCACGAAATGACCTGGTCTTCACAAATGGATGAAGAATAGGGGTCAACTCAGGAATGTCACTGTCTAGGCTCGATATCATCACACTATCTTAGATTAAATTAAATTAGTAATGAAATGGGGGCATGATCGCATTGTTTGGTTGATAAATCCCTCATGAGATGAGATGATGATGAGAGAGAGTGAGACAGAGAGAGAGAGAGAGAGAGAGATGAAAGCATATTGTCTGCACAAATGGCAGTTTGTGTCCCCTTTGTGGTGGGGGGGCTTTGGGAAGACCGTTCTTGTAAGTCTCATTTCGAAACGACAAGAAGAAAGGAAGTAAATCCATCTCCACAAGGCTACTTAACCAAGGTCGTTCCTTGGGAATCTTTTCATTTAGCTACACGTTGATATGCTGAGCACTTGGTTAACTCAACTAAAGTTTACCCATGCTCTAGTTAAGGTCCGGTTAACCGTGGTTAAAAAGTATATAGATGAACCAACGGGTTAATTAAGTGATTAAGAGCTTAGATTGGATATCCTAGTTTCTCTCGTTCGTAGTATCCTTCAGAGTTTGGGCCATGTTCACATGTCGATGAAGATTAGTCGAGTCGAAAGGTTTAGACGTCTCATTATTACATTTTGTCGAATGATCAACCGAGAAACAAATAAAAGAGCAATTTTCATGTTTGGTCTAATGAGATTTATACACTTTTAGTGCACTTGTGTCAAATGGAGATCCATTTTAGAAACTCAAATATTTTTACATTTGTCTTACTATGGAGGTTTGCGTGGCTCGTACTAAAGACTCTGCTCCAAACAATTTCACATGCGAAATATCATTATTTTTTTTTGGTCGAAAATATCATGAGTTGATCAAGCAACCTTCAAAAGGGTGTTTTCCAAATTTAGCTATTAATATTCAATAATTTACTCCAGAAAAGGGTTTATAGTTCAAAGATCATTATCCATCTCTTGTGCGTTCAACAGTTGCACCAGGTAAGAATTACAGTATGTGCTCCGGTTTTGGTTCATTTCAACGTGCGAGTTTCATAGCCAGTAACATACAAAGGAATGAGATCCAAAGCAACGGGTCCCCATCACTCCTTTACGTAGATACATTCTATGCAATCCTCGTAGTTAGCCATGAGAAGACAACACTAAATTTGAATCAAACGAGACTCGTGGCGGATCACCTAAACAATGTACGTGATCCGCACATGCTGATGTTCAGATCGCTCGTAATAGTCTTGACTAAATCCTCGATTACCCACGTATCATAGAACAAGTCGCTTTTGTAGATGAGCTCAGCTAATATGTTCTCACCCCACGACGCGGTAACTTTTGGAACTTATCCGCCTTCACCGTTCAATTAAGGAAGAAAATTGTCCATTTGTGATGCAAGAACAGGGTCCAAAATGTGTGTGGTAGATGAAGAAGAGATGGTTTTGGTGCCCCTAGGATTAGATCAGAGTTAAGCATCCGCTCAAATTGCACCATCTAGTAGATACAAACACGCGTATAGATTTAGTCTATGCCAATTTTATATCTGCTTAGCAAAGGAAGAGCTCCACTTGGGCGACAATGGAGCCAAATTTGAAAGAGAACAAGGATGTGGAGACAAGAATGACTAATCATTCACTTCTATACTCTCGTTTGACAAAGTCATAACCCAAGTTCATATAAATGTCAGGACGCAAGACCAGAGAGAGAGCAAAGTGAGTAAAACCACACTCATCTTCAAGAAATCACAAAGCTTGATCACCATATTCACTAGTGGACTCAAAAAACATGGCAAGGAAAAGAAAGTCTGTTGAAGCCATGCCAGAGAACCCCAGTGAAGAAACCATGACTTGGGACCAGATGGTGAAGGAGGCCGCTGCCGCGGCCGCGTTGGGTGGCGCCAGGAGGGCCCGGAAGCGGTTCATTGGGGTCCGCCAAAGGCCGTCGGGCCGGTGGGTGGCTGAGATCAAGGACACCATACAGAAGATAAGGGTGTGGCTTGGCACGTTCGATACGGCGGAGGAGGCGGCGCGAGCCTATGACGAGGCGGCTTGCCTGCTCCGTGGGGCCAATACCCGGACAAACTTCTGGCCTTGCTCTCCATCGGCATCTTCGTCTCCGGCTCTTCCCTCGAAGATCACGAACCTTCTCCTCCAAAGGCTCAAAGCCAGGAAAACCTCTCTGGCTTTGAACCCGGATGCACTAATCTGCCAAGAGCAGAAGCAGCCAAGGGAAGATCTTACACCAGATGTCGCCGATTTTTCCGATATACAGTTCTCTGATTATCTTAACGATCCTGAGGACTACACAACAGAACACAACATCATTAATGATGCGATTACAAGTCATTACGTAACGAATACCGTGTCCTCTTTGAATTTCAAAGAAGACTCGGGGAGGAGAGAAGAGAAAGAAGAGCATTTCGGCTACAGCATGAGTGATGTAACACAATCAAACGGTGATGATGGCAATCTTGGTGGAGACGGAGTAGAAGATGCTGATGAAGAAGATACCGATCTCAGGGTATTGGATCTTCAGTTTCTTGACGACTTCAGATCGTCTTTCTATTACTCTCCTTTCGAGATTGCTGAAGAGATCGCTGAGCCAATGGAACAGGAAAATGATGGAGAAGAGCCTTCGATTCTGACAGCTGCCATGAAAAGAATGAAGTACGAGAGAAAGTTTTCGGCTTCTCTCTACGCCTTCAATGGGATTTCTGAGTGCTTAAAACTGAAACTAGGATCAAGAACTGTTATGGCGAGGGCAAATTCCGATGAACTGGCAAAGCTCCAGAATGCATGTGACAAGAAGAAAGAGGAAGAGAAGCCAGTGGGAGATGGCTTCCTGAAACTGATGGCAGAAGGAGGAAACCCAGAAACTCCAACTGATACATTCCCTTCATCGTCTTCTTCTTCTTCTTCCTCGTCTTCAAGCAACGAAGGTGAATCATCGCTTTGGAGCTCCCTTGACCTTCCAACCATTTGCTTTGTCAACTGAATAGTTCAAGCTCTATTTCAAAGTCATACCGATAATCTTCTTTTTCTACTAGAAAAGGTACTCAACGTCAGTCATGTTTCCTTATAGATTTAAACTGATGTAGTTTCCAAGTTTTACGTCAGAGAAAGAAATGTAGAACGGTTATAAGCCTGCTGCTGAGGCGTTAACATCTCAATTTTCTCCATGACAAGTTGGCTGAACTCTATAGGCCAGCATTAACACGAAGCATGCTTTGCTTTTGCGTTTTATCGTAGTGAGCTAGTGATCGCTTTGCATCTGGTTGTGCATCATAATAAGAAGAATGATTCATGAATTTACTTGGAAAGAATTCATGATTGAAAGTGCCTCGTGTGCTTAAGTAGTTAATACTGGATACAATCTCACCTTTTTTTTTTGGACGAAAGACAATCTTACTTCAGTTAGTTGTTTTATAGCACTCTTGGAACTGATCATACTAAACCATGTGTGTGTAGGATTGCATCTGTTATCCGTTGGCAGCAGATCTATCCTAAAAACCATGCAGTGAAAAGCTGTGTTGCGGAATATCATTGCCGAAATGAGATGAGAAATACTCTTGTAGGAGACAAACTAATTGATCCCCAAACATCAGGTATAATGAATTATCCACAAGGATATACAAGGAAAGTCGATGCATTCCAGCAAAAAAACATTCCGCAATACCAAATGCAAAAAGGCAAATAAAGTATAAATATATTGAGAGCAGAGATATTTAAGGATGAATCAGGAACTACAAAGCGAAGGAGAGGGCCTGCAGTACCCGTCCATGGATAATATGCAATCCAACTATCATGAAGTTGTGAACAAACCTAACCCTGCCTTTGACTACTTAGCAAAACATATAGGGGCCGGCCTTCACCTTCAAGTATGGGGTTACTTAGAGGAAAGAATGTCTCAGTACATAATCCATATTCTGAAGTACTTCATACAATCAAGCAAACCTCGTCTTGCCAACACAAATTTACTACAATCAACCATCCCGTGTATCAGCCAAATTGTTCCATGAACGCATGCATTGCAGTGAAAAGGTGCTTCAAAGTTTATTAACACCAAGCACAGAACTTGAAGGGATTCAGAATTGCCACACAACTTGAGAATTCATATGCTGATCAAGGCCTTTGTCTTCTAACCTCCATCATTTAATGCGTCCACCAATAAAGTTGGATCTCTCTACAAAGGAGAACCCATCACAATCTCTTTCGCATTACATGAAGATGCTGCAGGTCTGCCGCCGCCGCCACACGCAAGGCTTTGTCATCATAAGCCAATCCATAATGGTATGGTTACACCCGGAGTACACGATTTTAAGAATGAAAGTTCCACTCCATGCACAAGCTCTACTCTATGGTCCAATGCGTCAAATCAGTACATTAGTTAAAAGAAACTTAGGTGATTAAGCTGTTACAGCTGCTTAGCCGGAAAATGCCAATGGTGATTCAAATGAATATGATACATGCATGAAGCATGCTTTCTCCCACATGGAACTGTACATCTTTTAAAAAGTTTTAAATGTCAAGGAGGAATTTATGTAACTCAAAGCATATATATGTACAAGTGCTGTCTAGTTCCTCAGCATTCAAATTTGTGCATTGTAATGGGAAGACCAATATAAATTTAACTCTGCTTCCTGTGCTGTGTCGAGTAGTTCATTCTTCATAATTGTAAATATATATTGACTCTGTCAGCTGTTTTGTTACCTCTTCCAATAAACTTCTCTGAAATGATATAAGCCAATTTATTCTTCTGAACCAATGTAAATCTGTGTCTTGGGAGCCTAGCAGGGCTGAAATTAGCCAAACTATACTCATGCATGTCGAATAGAATCAAACATAGCATTCATATTACAAATGATCCGTCTAAGTGTGCAAGTAAAATTGTCTAGAACCAAATTTTAGCTGTTAACAAAAACAATATCATACAGCTGTGTAAGCACATTGGGAGAACACGCCTCAGTAATCAGGAATGGAAGCAAAGCGATAACCTTCAACACCCCTCCATGAATAATATGCGATCCGAGTCTCATAGAAACCTGTAAACTCTTTTGGCAGTGTTATCAGAAACAGTCCCTAGCGCAAAATCAAAATCATTTATGAAGAAGCTCTTACTTTATGAACAGATCGCAGACAAAAGCATATGTGGACTATGTAGATGTTGGCATGACATAAATAGCAGTATATGTGGACTATGTATTACCCCAAAAGTGTATGCTATTTTGTCAAAGAAAAGTCCCAACCATCAACCCCTAAAATTATCTGCAATTTAGTTTGATGAGTAAAAGAACCAGTATGCAAAGTCAAACTTTTTTTCAGGTTTAAAAAAGAAGAAATATCTAAGTAGTAGAAGCAGAATCGATGAACCATTTTTAGGTAACTATATCAATTTATATCTTTGCTTCTTATCATGTCATTCCATCTATTACTTTCAGAACTCTCATAGGTCGTGCCGCACTTATGGGACTTCCAAATTTCCACGTCACAAGAAACATTATATATAAACCTGAACCTTCTCTCTCTCTCTCTCTCTCTCTCTCTCTCTCACACGCGCACACACACACACACACACACACACACACACACATGCTTGAGGAGGTAAAATAAGTATTTATCCAGACTAGCTCTTAGAAATGAACAAAAAATCACCTCATTGCACAATGGACTCATTCAAATAAGTCATAACAAGTAGCAGACATAAATTACCACCAAGAGTTTCAGTTTACCTGGAAGAAAAGTGAGAATTCCAAGGACTAAGAGGCCATATCCCTGGGACTTCTCACCACCCATGTGACCCGTTAAGATGAAGATGGAAAGAAAGAGAAGCAATGACCCTAGAAGGAGCAAGAAAAGTGCAAGGGCGATGGATTTCCATGGCACTCTATCGAAGTTTCTTGGAGTATAGTCAAACCGAGGATCATATTTCATTCCCATTCTCTCGTTGTAATCCTCATCTTCATCAGCAGGAAGACGACTGTACCCAACATTGCGCCTAGAAGCCATACCGGCTAAAAATCACCTTTAGTATTATCCCCGAGGACTTTTAATGTGGCACCTGGTAACAGAACTTCAAAGTCAGAGAAGGACATCCTCTTTAATCTCTTAAAAACTAAGACTTGTATTGAACTCATTAAGACTTTGCTCAAATTTCGAGCCTATTAAAAACACGGTTGGACCTATCTATTTATCAGACCCAAAAGGAGTAAAATCAAGCTGCTCAAATGGCTGCGACACTTCTTCCACCAGCACCGAACAATAGCTAATGCCGGTTTGCTCTCACAGCTAACCGTTTCCCATTAGCAAACACATGAGCTCATCACATAGCCAAAGAACACGCACGCACGCCCCCTATACAAGATAATACAAACTCAAAAGCTCATCTTCAAATTGAACAGTAGTTCTTGTTTCAAGCTCATTCGGCGCGTATCAAAGAACCAACTTTCTGCTTCAGACCGAAAGCATGAAGATGCCCATTTCTCAACATCAATCGAACTCGGCTGTTCGCATCCACTCGCTCCCCCCGTCGTCCAAAACGACTCAACCGCGCTCAAATTCCACAGGTTATCCATAAAAAAAAAGAAGCAATAAGTTCACATTTCTGCAACATTTTCCAGCTAAATTCAACTCAAGCTAGCGCCGATCACGCGTACGAAGCTAACTCGAATCGGACCCTAGCAAACAACGCAGGCGACACGCGACAACAAATCGCGACAGCGATATCATCAAAGAATACACACGCAGCGAAGCCCCCCAAAAGAGCTAGGGTTAGATTCGGGCGCTGCAAAATGAGATAATCAGAGAAGCATTACCGATCGGGACTCGCTTGTTCCGCCGAAACCCTAGAGATGAAGAAGAAGACGAAGAAGCGGCAGCAGCAGCAGCAGAAGAAGAAGAAGAAACGAGCGAAGGCGAGGAGTCAGGGGCGAAGAATCAACGCGCCGGATCTGGTCCAATCCGCCATACGAGACGAGAAGACCTTTCGGAAGGAAGGAAGGAAGGAAGGGAAGTTTCGCTCTTTCTCCCGGTAAAATCAAAACTGAGGTGAAGGGATCGTGTGCGGGCGGGACCCACCCTTGCGGACCCGTTCACGGAGCGTCGGGTCGGGTCGGGTCCTCCATTTGGGGCGGATCTTAACTTCTTCGTTTCTATTAGGAATCGGTTCGACCCGAACTCGAGAATCAGTCCCCATTCGGGCGGTTTTCTTAAATTGATCCGGGTTTTTGAACGTGTTTAAAAAAAAAAAAATCTCTTTTGAGAAAAAATATATATAGATTTCTAATCATCGAGATTTGAATTAATAGGATATGATCGAAAATAGCAACTCGACGAAAATTTGTTTTAGTAATAAAATGACGTGATTTTATATTTCATTATAAAAATTTGGATTTTCGGTTCCATGATAGGACAGGGAATCGGAAATATATGGTCGAAGGATCGGTCCTCGAATTGAAATCAGTCGCCCCTAATATGAAAAATGACAAGACGACAAGTTTACTTGTTAACATATCGAAAAAGTGACACTAAATTAACCAAAGTAAGCATTATTATAGAAATATGCGGTGGGCTTGAACTCTTTGTTGGCGGGTCTAGTGCCTCGATAAAGCCATTTTTACGAAAGAAAGGTTATTTGTCAGTGATGAACATATAATACAACATCGATTTACCCGTACAAGATCCTTTTTTATTTGAAATTGTTAATTCGTCGTGTGATTTTGTAAATTAACTTTAAAGACCGAAATATGCGTATGTACACTCTTAGAACATTTAAATAGAAGACGAGCTTCTTGGCGAACACTAAAGAGGTAGGGGGTATTGTACTAGCGTCACATCGATCTTAAGATCCATCTCGATTGCAATGTGTTTAAACCCGAATAGGATTGGCTGGTTCCATTGGGAATCGAACCACGATTTAGTTTTTACTTGAGAATTGGAATGGTCAAGAATCTATCAAAACTAACACTGACCTAATTCAACAATAAACCTGATGAACCGATCACCAGTTTGATTGGCCCTTAGATTTAAAGATGACAAATGGTTCAACCGGTTGACCGGCCTAACCGGTTCTTTGATCGGTCTGGGTTTGAAAACGCTAGTTCTCGGCTTGTCGATTGTACAACCAACAGAGGAGGGATGGGAAGCGGCGCACAAACTCCATGCGTTTCACAATCTATAATCACTTCATGCATGGGTAATAATGGAAGCCTAAAGTTATTCCACTTTCCATAATTATTAGGTTACATTTGCTATTCAAGATAAAAGTCAAAATATGATAAAAAAAATCCTATCTCGTGTTTAGTTTTTGCCCAAGATAGGATAAAAATCGGATATAAGAGGATATAGCCCGAATAAAAATATCCTATAGAAAATGTGAGATAAAGTTGGATAGGATTTCACATATCTATAGTATAAAAGTTATTTTTTTCGAATAATAAACTTCTTAAGTTAATTATAATAAAATAATAAGTATATATAAATAATATTTTGAATTTGAATATAAAAAAAGTAAAAATTCAAAATAACAAAAAAAATCATTTTTATATATTCTTATTTTTTTATATGCTTGAATGTCTGTCTATTCTGTATAAAATATATAGTATTTATATTTATTACAAATTTTTGGTATATGAATATATTTTATAATTTAATAATTTTTTTTATTAAGGAACGATGGAAGGAATAAAAAGAAGTAACAAAAGAAAAGAAATAGAAAAAGAGAGAGAGAGAAAAATAATAAACGAATAAAAATGAAGTAGAAGAACCTAAATTTTAAATGAACTTGAAAAAAATCTTTCTAATTCTCGAAGGGTGAGGGGCAATGAAATTTCCAAAAAAACCTCTTCCTTCTTCCTATCAGTAGCTCGTGTCGAAGCCTCACAACTCCGCCCTAGTTTTTTGGTTCCCTTTAAATCTCCATGAAAATGGTAAGAGATTCGAAGCTCCTTCTTTTTCGTAACTCTCTAGTTCACTGCAGCAGTAAAAAAGTCAAAGCTCGTTCTCCTTTATAAACGAGGGAAAAAGTCGCAAAATGCCCCAAACTATACTTATTGTGACATATTTACTATGAACTTTTGTTGGTGATATCAAAAATCCCATATTATGCTCATTATGAGATATTTACCCTAAACTTTTTTATGACATAGAAAAACCCAAAGTTGTACCTATGTGATATATTTACTCTCTATCAAGGTCCCATTAGATGATTTTTCCACCAAAATAACATCATTTTTATTTGATTTAAGTCACGTGAGCGTCATGTCAATACCGTTTGCTTTCCGGCGTCCATGTAGACAGATTTTTAACGACTTTCATTGACAGAATTTTGACGGAAGGTAAATGTGTCACACAGATATAAGCTTGGGATTTTCGGTGTCACGGAATTTTTTTTTTTTTGGCAAATATATTACAACGGATATAGTTTAGAATTTGCAGTAGCTCTCGTCTGATTAAATATCACCATTTCCCTTGCGAAATTAAAGGCACGGTGCAAGAAAATTTTATCAAAGTAGCAATGAACGTCTTGATCAAGAAAAGTGGTTAGCGACCTGCAAAACGTGGAACGACACAAACTGACGATGATAAAAGCGAGACGATTTGGGAGTTGCATCTAAGCAAAGTAATAGAGTACGGCCTTCCTGTTGTGAGGACAATGAATGCGAGGAGACACGCGTCAGGCATGCGCCCGTGGCCCGCAATTTTAAAAAGGTTGGGGCGGGCGGGGGACTTCGAAACGGAATTTCGGATTCGGACGAACCCTTGCGGCTCTCTCGGTGCTTCGTTGCTTGTTCTTGAAGAAGATTTCCATCACGCACCGCAATTTTGAGTAAAGTAATTGGGCCAAAAAGGAAACGAAAAAAGGAAAGCAAATTCGGAAATACTGGGTTTTTACGATAATTGTATCCCTCTCGATGAAGCTTTATTGCCGTGCAATTTGTGAAGCCAATTGATCTCGATCGCATGAATACGTCATGTGAAATGAAGCTTCATTATCGTGCAATCCATGAAGCCAATCGATCTCAACTACACGTGTCAATGCGTTTGTAAAAATATACTAGTCTTTAGTTACCGTATTGGGTCTTGGCCACTACCGACACCTCCAGTTTAGATGCCCATTGAACAAACCGATAAGGTATATGGGTTTTTTTTTTTCTATTAGGCTCTTGTTATATACGTTTAAATAGATTATAAGTACAAAATCGCCATATCTATCCAAAAAATTCAGTACGGTATATCAAGATATTTGTTATGCCGGATCTGGGACGCGTACTAAATAACGTGTTTCCTCCTCCCATTAAGGTTGCCTTTGTCTCGAAGCAGTCCCAAAAAGCATCCTTTTTTTTTCTCCTTCCGATGAAGCTTGGGCTTCGTTTCGGAGCGTCTTTCCTTCTTTCGTGGAATTCAACACGCATGTGGGATATTTCCCCTTGATTCTACTCCTCCTTTGATTGCATTGAAAGGGATTCGATGTTACCAGCTGCTGAAGGTGGACTAACTACGATCTATCCCACGGTAAAAAAACCAAAAGATGAAAAGTTGCCGCTGCATTTACCACTCTTCTAGCTAATAAGCTTTGCATTGTCCATCTCCTCGAGGGGAAGCTTGTGAAAGCTGCGACCTTAACACGAGTATTTAAGATCCTCGCCCATCCCAGCCTCCACCAGTCCGCCTCTCGCGAAGAACCCGACATTTGATCTGATCACCATCGTCTCTCGATGGCCGAAGCATCATCATCCTCATGTAGATTGGATATCAGATCCGCCTCCCCCGCACCCATCTACACCAGAACCACCTCGCGTCCCGCCACCATTCCCTTCTCGATCTACACTGCCAAGCTCTTCGTCTACGTCGTCACTACATGCGTCCTCTTCTTCATCCTCTCCCAAATCTCCCTCCTCCGATCTCAGTCGGCTCATTCCCCTCGATGGCCTCTCTCTTTCGTTCACCAATGGCAAAGCGTCATCCTCGACGCCACCTACATCGTCACTCCCGACCCCGACACCCTCACTGCCACCGCCACCACAGCTGATAAGCTCGAGGCTGCAGCCGAGAGGCTTCGCGAAGCTGTCACCTTCCTCCCGCTCAAGGACCTGCGCTTCGCTGACCAACCCACCGAGGGACACACCTGGTTCATGAGCTCCCTCAATGATACCAGCATCGGCGGCGGGCCCCAGCACCAGCGCTTCCCGTCGGACAGCTCAAAGGGCCGGGTGCTATGCCTCAAGGGACGCGACTTCCATGACGGATCGCGGAACTACTACGCCCTCGCGTGGCCCGAGGCCCTCCCGCGCGATGCCATCTTCATGAGCGGCCTCACTTTCGTGTCCTACAACCACTATGACTATGACAACATATGGCACGGCTTGTCGACGATTTTCCCATTCGTGGCGTGGCACCAGGGGCAAGGCTGCCGCCGCCTGCCCGAGCGGTGGGTGTTGTACCACTGGGGCGAGCTCCGGCCCGGGATGGCCCCATGGCTGAGCAAGCTGATGGAGGCCACGTTCGGGAAGCCACCGTCGGTAGAAGTGTTTGATAAAATCACGGAGGACACCTCCGTCTGCTTCGAGGACGCTGTGGTGACAAGGCACAGCGAAGGAGGGATGTCTATGGAGAGAAGGATCAAGGCCTACGAATTGTTGAGGTGCAGCGTGAGGAGATATTGCAACTTGAGCTCGGAGGTCGATGGTGATGGTAACAAGGTTAACACAATACGTTTGACCTTGTTGATGAGACGAGGAGCGAGGTCATTCAGGAACGAGTCGGCCGTGGTCGGAATTTTCCGGAGGGAGTGCGATAAGGTTGAAGGTTGTCGTCTCACGGTGGCTCACTCCGATGATCTCAGTTTCTGTGATCAGGTCAGTGCGTAAAACCTGAATTAGTCCTTGTTTGAATTAGCACGATTGTTGTTTGACACTCACTAAAAACTTTGTAGTTTGAAGATCCAAAAAGAAAAAACCAGGGTCTTTTTCGTTAGATATTTCTTATGTAAATTATAGTATATTCCTTCTGACTCCTTGGTGAAAATGAGTCGAATAATATGGGTAGTGTTCAACTTAAAGGTAGAGGGACAGAGTTCCACATCATTAGAACAAAACATTCAAAGACTGCATGCATGTTAGGCGTTGACGCATCATATTAGATGACAAACCGAAAATCCTATTGTACGGAATGACCAATTACGGTAAAATGAGGTCCAATTCAATGACATATACTAAGCAAATCGCAGATGTTAATTGACCTTGGCATCCACTTATCTTACAAGTAATTAATCACTAAAGTATGTTGGGTTACTTTTATTTGAAACCAGTAACATTATGCAGGTGAAGCTGATGAGCACGACAGACGTGTTGGCGTCGCCACACGGGGCACAGCTAACCAATCTGTTCATCATGGACCGGAACAGCAGTGTGATGGAATTCTACCCGAAGGGGTGGCTGCGCTACGCCGGGGTTGGCCAATATGTGTACCGGTGGCTGTCAAGCTGGTCGGGGATGAGGCACCAGGGCGCCTGGCGGGACCCGGTCGGCGAGGGGTGTCCCTACCCAGAGGGCGACATCAGATGCTTCGACACCTACAAGAACGGCAAGATCGGCCACAACCAAACCCATTTTAGCGAGTGGACGAGAAAGGTTCTCGGTGAAGTGAAGTTGAGAAAGACTGGAGACACCGTTCTGAAGAGGAAGCAGGACCGGATCGGTGCTTGTGCTTGCAACTGATAATTCGGATATATTGTTTTCAAATTTTCCATAACATACGCCTTTGTTTTTTTTTCTCCAACTTTTTCCCTCTATTAGCAAACGGATGAGCTCATCACATTGCCAAAGAAATACACACGCCCCTCTATACAAGATAATATAAACTTAAAAGCTCATCTTCAAATTGAACAGTAGTTCTTGTTTGGAGCTCATTCGGCCCGTATCAAAGAACCAACTTTTTGCTTTAGATCAAAAGCATGGAGATGCACATTTCTCAGCATTAATTGAACTCCGTCATTCGAATCCACTCGCTTCCCCGTCATCTAAAACGACTCAAGCACACTCACGTTCCACAGGTTGTCCAAGAAAAAAAAAGCATAAAGTTCACATTTCTGTGAATTGAACGGAAAAATCAGGAATATGAGGTCGCAAGGTCGGTTCTCGAATTGATAATCGATCGCCCCTAATATGAATAATGATAACGCACAAAATTTTAAGATAAATAGATGAGTTTCTTTTATCTGACGGTTATCGAGGGTTCCAAAGATCCTTGAGATGGTTCGAAAAATTAGCCCCCACAATTGATGTCCACTCTACAAGTTTACTTCTTAGCATTTATAAAATAGTATACTAAATTAACCAAAGTAAGCATTCTTATAGAAATATGTGGTGGGCCTCAACTTTTTGTTGGTCTAATGCCTTGATGACATTATTTTTAACGATCTCGGTTTTTATGAAAGAAAGATTATTTGTCAATAATGAACATATGACTTTAATCTCATTTGAATCGATAAGTGCTTGGATACTAGTTTCTTTTCATTACCTCTTACAGAGGTACTCCATGTTTTATTATGTGATAAAATAGAAATAATAGATTTTCGACATTAAATTTTTATATTCGGTTTTAGCCCTTTTTCATACCAAAAAAATTATCTCATTTGAATTATCGATTTACTCCTATAAGATCTTTTTTCATTTGAAATTCTTAATCTGCCGTGTCATTTTGCAAATTAAATTGAGAAACCGACATTTGTATCCGTATGCTACTAGGAACATCCGAATAGAAGAAGATTTTCTTGCCAAACATTAAGGAGAAGTGGGAGTATTGCACCCAGTGCTGGCAACTAACCAATGATGGATGACACGTGTCCTTCATCATTTGCGGCAATTGGATTTTTTTTTCCTGGGAATTTTGCTGCAAAAACATACACCGCCACTGGCAATGCCGTAATTATTGGAGAAATTTTTTTCAATATGTGTTATTTTGCTTGATAGATCCGTTCTTATGGAACGTGTGTGTGCTTAATTGTGCCGGTACTCCATTGATCTTTCTTGTTTTCTGGATTTGATTATGGTTTGTTTTCTCTATTTCGATTTACTTTTTTTGCCATAAAGTCTATTTACTTTTCACATATCCTTTTGAGCAATGAATAAAAAAAATTCAAGTCCGCAACCCTCACGCTCGCCATCGCATGATGCTCCAGCGTCATGCGATCCTATGATCTATCCTCGATTGCACTGTTTTTAAACTCGGACAAGATTAGCCAGTTCAATCGGGAACCGAACTATGATTCACTTTATGCCTGAGAATCAGAATGGCCAAGAACCGGCCAAACCCGATGTTGACCTGGTTCAACCAACAAACCCGATGAACCAATCACCCGTTTGACCGGTCTTCCGCTTTAAAGATAACAAACGATTCGACTAGTCGACTGGCAATTTGGAAGCCAGACCAGTTCTTTCGTCGGTCAAGTTAAATTCGGCTTATCAATAGTACAATCGACGATGGAGGGATGGGGAGCTACACGCAAAATCCATGAGTTTCACAATCTACAATTACGTTGTTGGAATTTTCAACCCAAAAATTTCATCTATCAAGTGAAAGCGTGGTAATTGGTAGTAACCCCATAAAACCGGCCCCACATGATTTTAAAGCAGGATATCGTGAATTCAAATCTTTTCAGCCCATATTTACCTCCAATATTACATATCTTTATGATTAGGCCAAAGTCCAGCCTAGGCGTGAGCGGAGGTATTAGAATATTTGATTATTATAACATGCCTTCACCTAATAACTTAATTTTTTAGATTGAAAATTCTAACATATATACTTTAGTAAGAACGGAAGCCTAACGTTATCTGACTTTCCAGAGTTACTTTAAAGTTGCGAGTGACATCAATATCCTAACGGTATAACTCTTCCTCCTTTGAAACTCATTCAAATGGTCAATTATCATTATTCTCCTTCGAAATTAAAGGCGCAGTAGTAAAGCGAATTCTTTTGGGCTTCGTTTGTTTCGCCAGAAATGAATTATACAAAAAATATTATCCTTAAATAAAAAATATCTTCATTATTGATAATAATTTATGACTATATATTATTATAGATCATTAAAATATTTTTCGTTATTTATTTTTATAAGCAATATAGATAATTATTTTTAGAATAATATTTTTAAAATTATTTATTTTTCGTGAAACGGAAGAGCTCTGGTTTATCGCCTTCCTTCCCTAAGCAGCAATAAACGTCTTGATTAAGAAATGTGATTAGCAACGGATGTCTTCTTACACGGCCAAAAACCCTTGTCTTGCGTGGAATACACAAAACAACGATGAAAAGAAGCAAAGAAAAGTAAAAATATTTTTTTTTGGGGGGGGTCGCCCTTTCCGAAGTGCGGACCACAGCGCATCCGTGACGTCAGCGTGTCGCGCTCACGTCAGGCATGCGCTGTGGATCGCAATTAGAAAAAGGGCCGCTGAAGCAAGTGGGACTCTAAACAAGTTCGGAATTCTGACGAATCTGCGGCTCATCGGTGCTTCATTGCTTGCTCTTGAAGAAGAATTTTGACCAAGTAATAGGGCGAAAGAGGAAACCAAAAAAAGGGAGAGCAATTCGGAAATGCTCACATGTTGTTTGATGCATATTAAGTCTAAAAGCAGGGACGTTAATCTCGCGGTGGGATTAACGGCGATCACTTAATCATTTTTCTAAGTTTATGTAATATATCGAGTGCTGAATTACATGGATCTCACGTGACACTTACCGTGTACATCAGTCGAGATCGCACGATAACAAGGCTTCATTGAGGGGGTGTGTTTATACTAAACGACATATTTTTATCGCAAAATGACAATCAACGGTCGATGCGTTCGTTAATACGCTAGTCTTTAGTGACGGTATCGGGTCTCGGGTCTTGGCCGTTGTCGACACCTCTAGTTTAGATGCCCCATCGAACAAACGGACGAGGCATACCGAGATTTTTCCGACGGGCTCTTGTCGTACACATTTGGATAGATTATAGGCATCAAAATTGCCATACCTATTGAACCAATTCAGTGCGATACCACTCCCTGAAATGTTTAGCATGGAGTTGAAGACAGAGACCGAGGGAGGGAGGGACGCGCGACGACGTACTTCCTCCCATGCAGGTTGCATTTCAATTCAACGATGCAATGGTGGGGATGTTTCCCTGATCCCACTCCTCCTTTAATTGCATCCAAAGATTTAAGTTGCCGCGTTTACCACTCTTCTAGCTAACAAGGTTGACATTGTCCAATGTCCACCTCAAGCGAAGCTGACCTTGACGAGTATTTAAGATCGATCCTCTTCACCAAGAATTTCTACACTTGATCAAATCCCCATCTTCTCTTGATGGCCATAGCATCATCCCCGTGCAGAGTGGACATCAGAGCCACCTCCCTCCCACCCATCTACACCCCAACCGGCTTCTCCAAACCCAGCCAGCCGCCACGGCCTACCGCCGCCGTTCCCTTCTCGATCTACACCGCCAAACTCCTCGTCTACGTCCTCTCTACGGGCGTCCTCCTCTTCGTCCTCTCCCAAATCTCCCTCCTCCAATCTCAGTCGACTCCTTCCCCTCGATGGCCCCTCTCCCTCGTGCACCGATGGCAGAGAGTCATCGCTCCCGACCCCGCCACCAAGAGGCTGCGGGACGCGGTCACCTTCCTCCCGCTCAAGGACCAGCGCTTCGCCGACCGACCTGCCGAGGGACACACCTGGTTCATGAGCTCCCTCAACGATACCAGCATTGGCGGCGGGCCCCAGCACCTGCGCTTCCCATCGGACAGCTCGAAGGGCCGGGTGCTATGCCTCAAGGGACGCGACGTCCATGACGGCTCGCGGAACTACTATGCCCTCGCATGGCCGGAGGCCCTCCCGCGCGACGCCACCTTCATGAGCGGCCTCACTTTCGTGTCCTACAACCACTACGACTACGGCAACATATGGCACGGCTTGTCGACGGTGTTCCCGTTCGTGGCATGGCACCAGGGGCAAGGTTGCCGCCGCCCGCCCGAGCGGTGGGTGCTGTACCACTGGGGTGAGCTCCGGCCCGGAATGGCCCCGTGGCTGAGCAAGCTGATGGAGGCGACGTTCGGGAAGCCACCGTCTGTAGAAATATTTGATAAAATCGAGGATGACGGCTCCGTCTGCTTCGAGGACGCTGTGGTGATGAGGCACAACGAAGGAGGGATGTCTACGGAGAGGATGATCGAGGCCTACGAATTGCTGAGGTGCAGGGTGAGGAGATACTGCAACTTGAGCTCGGAGGACGACGGTGACGGTAACAAGGGTAACACGATACGTTTGACGTTGTTGATGAGACGGGGAGCGAGATCGTTCAGGAATGAGTCGGCGGTGGTCGGGATTTTCCAGAGGGAGTGCAATAAGGTCGAAGGCTGTCGGCTCACGGTGGCCCGCTCCGACGATCTCAGTTTCTGCGACCAGGTCGGTTCATAAAATTACGGCAAAATGAGGTCCAATTCAATGGCATAAAATTACGATAAGGTCCAAATTCGCTCCGACGAATAATCCACACCATTCAAACAAACATCCAATGAGTGCATGCATGTTAGGCGTTGACACACCATGTTGGATGACAAACCGAAAATCCTAATGTGTGGAATGACCAATTACGGGAAAATTAGGTCCAATTCACTGGCATATACTTATCAAATCGCATATGTTGATTGACCTTGGTATCCACTTATCTTGCAAGTAATTAATCACTAAAGTATGTTGGGTTCGTCGGGTTTATTGTGCTTGAAACCAATAACATTATG